CTCCAAAACGGCTCCATCCGCAGCCACCATCCACCCCTTCCATCCCATCCATCATTCACTTACACCACCATCGTCGCCTTCCACCGCTTCCGAGCCTTTGACTTTGACGAGTCGTACGACTCGGACCCAACACCCTCTCTTTTGTTCTGGTTGGCACGCGCGGCACCAACCCGCCGTGGCCGACGGGTGCAGGTGGCACGCTCTGCACCCGCGGGGCACCATGACCTCCGTTGCCAGTGCATCACCGGAACCACCGTGGGCATGTCATGGTGGTGGTCTTGACTCTTGCCACTGCCCTCTTTGCATCTAGCGAGACAAAGCAGGGTCTGGACAAAGACGCAGCCATCCGAGAGCAAACATGGCGACGGATAGATATGAGCCTGCCGTGATGATGCCAACGGCGCGACTCCGGTCAAGCATGCCCAGCCCTCTCAACGCCGTTTCTGCCAGACCTGGAGGTCAACCCTGCAAGAATGGAACTCAACAGCAAGCAGCCCTTTCCCCACTTCCGATTTATCACCAACGGACGGTTCATGAAATTCTTCTTGAACCCCGAGCAAGAAGACATCAAGAGCAGATGGAACAAGATCAACACCCATTACGCACTCGTCCGTGGAGATAATCAAGTGGTCCTGGAATACGACCCCCAACCCGCCCAGTCGCTCATTGATCATGTCAATCGCCGGAGAATAGTCAGACCCAGTCTGCCGCCCGCTGTCGAATATTCCGAAGCCTACGGCCACCTCTGGCATCCCAACGAGCACGGCGATAACCACCAGGTCACCGAGCTTCCCTATGAACTCGGCGTCTTCTGGTCCACGCATAGAACCTGGGACGGCTTTCATCTCAATTGGGTCAAGATCCTCGGCCAGGGCGGCTTTGGGGTCGCAACGCTCTGGGAGGCCATCTTCGAGGACGGCACCTCGTGCATGGTGGTCATCAAGATGCCCAGGCCTAAGCCGGGTGGGCACACCGAAGACCTTCGACGTGAGGTTTCATGGCACAGAAAATACGCTGGCGCCCTGCACACTGTGCAGGTCGTGGACCTCAATGAGATAGTTCGTGGGAAGAGGTACTACTATGCGCAAGGCGGAGCCGGACCACCGAGAATCAGGGGGCCCATCTTCAACCCCAGACATCTCAATGTCTCGGTTCTCGAGTACGCCCAGCACGGCAATTTGTTCGACATGCTTGCCAAGATCTCTTACTCCACAACACGTCTCTCCAACAAGGTGTTGTGGGAGCTGTGGGAGTGCTGTAAGTCGAGGGCCCACCGCATCCATACCTTGTACCCATCTGTGATGGTTGCACGCAGAGAGCTGACACCGGGGCCGACAGTGGTCCGGGGCGTTGCTTCGGTTTCACGCCAACGAGGCATACTGCAGCAGGATCTGATGCCCGGTGTGAAGTACGGTCTCGACGAAGTGCTGGCATCTATCGAAGGTGGCGCCCCCGTCACAGCCTGGGATTTTCTCCACGATGTGATTGATTCGCACGACGTTCACTTTGACCTCGAGGAGCAAAACGGTGGGTGTGCCGACATGGAAAGGGTGCCGTCAGTATAACTTGAGTGCTGACAGCGCGCGTGTGCAGTCCTGATTGCGGCGCATCCGAGTCACTACGGCAGTCCCCTCCTTAAGGCGCGTCTTCGCTCGTCTGTCCTCGACAACTGGGTAACCTGGCTGACATGTTTACTTTAGCTTCACGACTTTGGTGGCTCGTACAGCTTCGAAATGCAAGACTGCTGGAAGCGTTGGCGTTTCGTCAACTATATGAGAGCGCGATCGTCGCCGAAGCTCAATCGGCGTTTGCCAGTTCGTATAACCCTGCCGATTCCGCCAAGGGCGAGTGAATATACTGACTTCAATCCATAGGAGCAAGCAACCAGGGAATGGGAAGACTTTGACGCTCTCAATTCCCCGTCAGCAGACCATTTTCGCGGCCAGAACCTTGACCGTGGAACCCCAGTGGCTGGACGGTACGGGACGTGGTCCAACATCTTTCTCATAGCGAGCATTGTAAGTCCGTCGGTGGCCCGTACGAGAGGGCCCTATTGACTGGCGTATAGATGGAATCCATCATCACAGACCGGTGGATCTCCTGCCCGTTCACGAAATACTCGTACGTAACAGCCGATGGGATGAAGGCGGCCGAGACGTACGCACACCGCTTGCTGCACTCGGATTACAGCTGGGTCGAGCCCGAGCTGCTTGAGCAAGTGATACGCTGTCAGTTCCATCAGCCCGCGGACCGGCCAAATATTACTGAGCTCCTTTTCGTTTGCGTGCGACGCAAGATGAGGGGATTCCCCGAGGAGTCGAACGATGAGACGGCGCGGTTCTGGTACAATTTCTGGCTGCCGTTGCCCGAGGACAATGTTGGCATGGCGCCAGATAGTGGGCAGGATAACGGCGACGGCAACGACGCTGGCGAGGCTGCGCAAGGGGAAGACAAGGGCAAAGCACCCCAGGTGGAGCTGCCTGCTGACTTCTTCGACGACCCGGCGGCTCACCAGGACAAGATGCCCGGTGTCGAAACGAAGGACTGGTCGAATGTCAAGGATCTGATCGCGAACTTGGTCAGTGCCGCCGAGAGGCAAGGCCCCAAAGCAATGAGGCATCTTACGGTGAGCGACGCCGGATTTCAGCCCGACCGCCCCGGCATCGACGCCGACCGTGAGGTCGGCTCTGACCCAGGCCAGCCAGGGGCTGGCTGGAAACCGCCCCCATCGAGTGAGGGGCCATCACCGCAGATCGGCGAAAGCAGACATGCGTCGTCAGGTAGCGGCCACGACTCCGGGCCAGCCTGGTCGCAAGATGGGGCCAGGAGTGCGCCCAAGCCAAAGGGCGATAGCTGGCCTTACCTCGGCAAGCTCCGGTATGGTTCGAGTCCCTCGTCCGGAAGCGGCAATTCCGGCTCGCGGGTTTCCAGACGGTCGCAGAGGCCTCGGCCCGGCTCCGCGCCGGGCCGCTTTCCCAGCGTGGCGATGCGTAACCTCGCCTCGAGGGCGGACCAGCTGCAGAGTTATCTCGACCAGGAAATGGTTACCGGGGACCAGGGGACGACTGCCGAGGATCAGGAGGTGGCCAGCTCAGACCCGGACAAGGGTGGCGGCACCTCATTGGGGATGCACATGTAAAATCCTGGCGAGACGATGCAGGAATGTCGCCACACGGCTGCAGAAAGTCTGTATAGATGGAGTGACGGAGCGGAGAGGGCTTGGACGGCCATTGATACGACGGGCAGTCTAAGAGTTGAGGCGCTGTCTGTTGTGCCCGGGTTGGTTGCATCACATCAGATTGCAGACTATGCTAATTGTTTTGAATCTATTATACGGCCCATTACTATTATATCCATCATCATATCGCCCCCATCCCCAAAGCTTTTTGACCGTAAGGAGTGAAAAAACCGTCGGAATCCTGGTATCTCGCATCTCAAAATCCAGTCGTGTATGTGAGTCGTCCGTGGCTATGCGTCGACATTACCATTTGGCGTATGCAGTCAGTCAGTCAGTCAGTCAAACTCCAATTTCAAACATGCTACCGCCATTCAACCAGGGCCCAGCAAGTAGAATTATAATGAGCACCCTTGATCCTCCAGCCCCTGCAAATCGGAAGGGCATCTGTGCATCCCCATCAACAACTTCTTTTGCTCGGCGAACTGTCCCTCACTTCGCGTTCGAGTACATGCATGCACACGTCCCCGACGCTGCCTGCACGTCGGCAATCTGGCGGCCGGTCGAGTCCTCGCACGTCGGCTGCCCAATGGTCGAGTTCATGAGCTGCGAGACCTCGATGTCCCCAGGCCAAGCGACAGCCCCGTCGTCGCTACCGCCCGCGTCGGCCGGGGCGTCGAAGCTCTTGCCGCCGCGCCGGCGCGTGTACAGCGTGGCCTCGACCTCGACGTCGGCGTAGGTGCACTTGGCGGCGCGGTTGAGCGACGTGCCGCCGTCCGAGGGCACGACCGTCTTGTTGACGGGCATGGAGAAGACGAGCCGCTCCGTCGGCTGGTTGGCGTCGACGAGGCGCATCTTGAGGTTGCTGAAGGACGGGAGGGCCAGCGAGTTGTCGCTGCCGTCCTTGGAGGAGGAGGGCGCCGAGGATACCGTGTACGTGTCTGGGCTCAGGGACTTGATGTTCCAGTACAAAGTCGTTGTGTTTCCCTTTGCCTGAGCGTCGCATCGCCATGTGCTGGCCCGCGACGTGCAGTCCTGGTCCTCACTCTTGAGAGACGTGTCGAACGTGTAGGAGCCGGCGGGGAACTTGTAGTTGGAGCTTGAGTTCTTTCCGGACGTGCTTCCCCTGAGTGCAGCGGCTGAGTCAGTATAACTGAGGACTGATATGCTGGAAGCAGTAAGGAAGAGGAGATATGGTCAAGGAACTCACCTCTTTCTGAGACCGACAGCCAAGCCCACAGCAAGGCCGACAATAATGGCCGTGATGACACCGACAACGACCAAGAACCGGCACGATCGCTTCCGGTGAGCAAACCACGCCTTTTCGTCATGCCGGCCGCCGCCGTTATTCCCCTGAGCCGCCTCCGGCGGCGGCACCTCCGTCCTGTCCGACGAACCGCCCGACTCGTCCGCGGCGGCGACCTCCTTCCCCGCCTCGGGACCGCCCGACGGCCGCGACTCGGGCGTGATGTGACCGGTGCTCGCGTCCGAGGAGACGTACGGCGGCGGGTACGTGCTGGGGCCGGTGCTGCGGCGCTGATGCTTCTGCGGGACGCGGAGCGGGCCCTTGGGCAGGGCCGCCGGGTTGTAGGCGTCGCCGTACTGCGTTACGTACGGCATGGCCTGCATGCTCGGCAGCGAGGATCGCGACGAGCTGAGGGAGGTGCGCTGGTGGTAGAAGGGACCCGACATGGCGTCGTTTGCACACGGGCACGCCCAGCTATGGGAAAACGACGATGAGTGACCGGAGACGCTGTGTGCGGGCTGCTACGCCGCCGGTGGGTTGGCGACGGTGAGCTGATATCAACGGCCCGCTATGCAAGATGTGTTTTCGTCTGTATCTTCGCCGAGCGGCCAGCTACCACGTAGTGAGTGATCAAGGGCAAAGGCTCTGAGGAGGAGGAGTATGAGGAGAACGAGGACGAAGAGAAGAGAGAACAAAGGCGGCCGCCGTCGTCGTTTCGTTCGTCGACGATCAGAACACACTGGGCAAGCAAGATCCCCCCGTCTCCGTGGCAAGCTCCTTTTTGGGCCGTCGCGCTCACGTCGATGCCGAGCTTCCTCACCCCTACCCCCTCTCTCCTCATGGCGGGCTATGTTGTAAAAGAGGTGCGGTGCAATCTGACGTGGTTGAGACAAGACGTTTGGTGAGACCCCTCTCTCAGTGTGCGTGCCTACGTACGTAGTACGTAGGTGAGGAAAAGCAAAGGAATGGGAGCGGTAAGGGCCCAAGACCCGGTGCGAGACATTGTGTGAGCTATTGTGTAGTCAGTGAGTGAGCGAGTGCACCTTGCCCGGGCCGGCAGCACAAAGAATGTCCGAGTGAGGGGAAAAGGAAACAATGGCGGGCAGTGAGCGCACATGGAGTGGGTGGACAGATGGAGGAACTGCGTGACAACTTTCTATGAGCGGTGCGCATGAGACCATCATGGATGATGAGCCACGGGTGGTGCCTTTCATCACTCTTTGGCAGCTCATGCAATTCTCCTTGCCGTCGCCCTTCCTCGGACGTTCGCGCGCCCTGGAAATAGGCCACTACCCCTACAGCTCATCATATGGCCAATATTTCCCCCCGGTCCCAGGGATGAGCACACACCGGCCGCCGTCGGAAGCTCCCACGCACGTCATCGCCACGGGAAGGACAGCCGACTCACTCCCAGAAGCAGAAGCAAGCGGAGATTTCACCACCATCACCGCCGTCTCGTCCACGGCCATTTTTGCCCGGCCCTCTCTGTTTCTTTTTTTCGCTCATTTTCGTCCTCTGTCGTCCGCGCTCTCCAGCCAGCCAGTCCTTCACCCCACCTGGCGAGCTTGAGCGACGGGAAAGGTGTGTGGAAGCTGGCCATCCCGCCAGGGGTCCTGTCTTCCGCGTCAAGACCTATGCAGCACTGCCCTTTTGACGCGTCTTGGTGGATGCCGCAGAAAGTACGTGTCTCGGCCGGCGGAGGCGCTACCGCAGGGTCGCGAGACGGCTCCGGAGCGGCAGAGACCACAGTGGCCACAGAGGCCACAGAGGCCATAGAGAGGCAAGCCAAGACGTGATGATTGACGCCGAATGGTCCGGAGTGGTGGCAACAATGAGCGCCGCTAACTAGCGGCAGCGGCCACGGCCACAAGCCGCTTTGACAATGAGCAGCGAGCAAAAAAGAAAGCCAACGCAAAAGATGGCAATATGCAAAAGAAACGAGGTGGGTAGGCCACGTTCGCAATCACCGACACGCGTCGAGGAGCAGCGTCAACTCTTGGATAAATGGATAAACCGGCGACCAAGGTATCTCGGGTCCCCCTCTTTGCCCCCCGACTCCTGTCCTGTATATGCTGGTATATCAATTATACAGTACAAGAAATGACAGCAGACCGTCTATATGCATGGCCTCCCATGTGCAAGAGCCCCTTATGCGCTTGCTTCCCGATGTCCATCGGAGTCCTCTGCCGTCGAGGAGACGGCTGCGTTGATCTCCTCTGCCTCCTCATCCTCCTCAACCTCTGCCTCCACCTCGGCTTCCTCCTCGTCCTCCTCTGTCTCCTCGGCTTCCTCCGCCACCTCCTCTGCCTCCTCGGCCTTCTCCATCACGTCCTCCGCCGCCTCCTCATGCTCATCAGCCGCCTCGGTACCGGCGCTGACAAGCTCCTCTTCCCCGCCAACATCGTCGCCTCGCTCTTCCGACTTCTCTTGCTGCTCTCCCGCAACGTCCACGTAGTCGGGTGCCTCCAAAGACACGCCCTTGTCTGTCCACACGGCCGCTAGCTCTTGCTCAATGTCGTCGCGGCGCTTCTTCCACTCGTCGACCTGGGCGAGGCGCTCGCGGAGCTCCTGCAGTTCCTTCTCCACCTGCAGCTTCTCCCGCTCCGTGCCGATGCGCTCAAACTCCCACTCGTCGCCTTGGTCGCCCATGCCGAGAACGAGGTTGTACGTGTGATATTTCTTGAGCGAGGCGCGCGTCGAGATCGTAATCAGGGCTGTCGCGAGTTCGTTAGCGCTTAGTCTTGTCTCGAACTGCGGGACTGAACCTACTGATTCCCTTTTCTTTGCACGTTTCGTAGAGCAGGCCCTCGACGTCACTGGACACAGCGCTCGTGCCCTCGTCGATGACGGCGTACTGTGGCTCGTGGTATAGCAGCCGGGCGAACTGCATGCGCTGCTTCTCGCCACCGCTGAGCACATCCTTCCACTCCTTTCGAGTGTCCCAGCCGCCCTCGCGATCGGGTAGGTAGCCGAGCTTAGCCTCCTCGAGGATCCTCTTCAGATCGTCCTCGGACTTGCGCTTCTCCTTCATGTCGACGTGCCCATCGGGATAGATGACCTGGTCGCGAAGAGTGCCTGGGCTGAGGTACGGCCGTTGCGGGAGGAACATGATGCCGTCCTGCCCGATGCTCTTCGGTCGACTCACGAGTCCTCGGTACACGGGCCAAAGCCCAGCGAGGATGCGAGAAACGGCAGTCTTACCGACACCGTTGGGACCGGAAATCTGCAGATCTCACTGTTAGCCTAGAGAAACTTGACAAGACATACTATCACCGTGCATAGGGAAGGAAGGCCTTACCAGCAGGTGCTCGCCGCTTCGGACAATCATGGACAGTGAGTCAGTAAGCTCCTCTCCTCCTTGCGGCCACAGCCCCGGAGCGACCACGGGCACTTGCTCGAATCGTACGCCATCGAAACCCTTCTGAATGGTGCCCTGAACGTCAGACAGCGAGTAGAGTTCGTTCTGACCGCCACGCACGTAGTACGCATTGGCATGGACTCGGTGGAGCGTCGATATCAGCGTGTACACGCGGCTCGTGTATCCAGCCAGCTCGGCCAGGTCCTTGATCGAGTACATCATGCGACCGCCGGCGTCGGCCAGCGAAAGCATGAGCCGCTTGTTGGTGATGAAGTCCTTCATTCGGTTGCGCTCCCGGCCGCCCTTGGCAACGCTTTCCAGCATCTCCGCCGCTCCACCAACGCCGCCCCAAGCTGGCAAGAAGACGGGTAAGGAGGCGAGCAGGTAGCCGTATGCGCTCCAGCTGTACTTGAGAATGAAATCCTCGAGGATGTTGTAGCGGATCTTGAGCATGTAGATGCCCTCCATCCAGCTCTTGAGAGACTTGTACTCCTTGTTTAGGAACGTCTTCTCCATGTCGGCGCCGCCATAGAAAGCAACCTCCTCGGCGTTGGCAATCAGACGGGCGTGTAGGCCACGGAAGTCGCCCTCCTTGCGGCCTTCGACGGCCTTGAGCTTGCCAAAGGGCGGCGACAGACGACGCAGAATGCTCGCTGTCAGGAAGTAGTTGCTCAATAATCCAGAAAGCGCCAAGGGGCCCAGAGATCGGTAGAGCTGGAAGTTGAAGACGCATAGGTCGACAAAGGGCTTGCCGAGCGACGAGTACAGGTTCGCGGCGGCCGCGCAGAACAGGGTCAGGTCTTGGGTGATGAACTGATCAGCGCCGTGGCCGACGCCGCCATCGAGGTTGGATAGTTTGTAGTAATTCAGGTTGTCGTTGAGGTAGAGATCATGGATGTATCTCGTCAGGCGTGTGCGGAATGCGATGGATACCTTGGATTCGAGGTACTTGATCATGGCATTAGTGTACGACGCGAAGCCGCCGAGACCGCACCACTGGAGACAGACGTAGTGTTAGTGGAACGAAGATGCAAGACGCTTGAAGTGTCGGAAGGGTCGCCTACCTTGAGGATGCCCCAGATGAACGCCTTGCCGTTACCGGCGACCAGGTCTCGGACGAGCTCACCATCCAAGCGGGCGACAACAAGCGAGAGATACGTCCGCAGCATGAGGAAGATGCCGTGGCTGAGCAGCAAGCCGGCCTCCTTACTGGACCAGCGGGGGATCATGATGCTCATGAGGCTGAGGAACTGGTGCAAGAAGGCCAGGTTGAGACCAGGCTTGGTCTGCGCCGAGGGGACGGTGCCATGGCTGAGACCGGACACCCGCGGCGGGTTGAGGAAGAGCCGGCGATGGGCCTCAAAGGTGAGGGGCTTGGTGGTGTTGATGATGACCTTGGAGGTGCCTTCCTTGTAGGGGACGTAAATGGTCCGCGAGCCGTCCTTGTTGTGCAGCCACGAGTTTGTGCGGACGAGCTTGCGGCCCTGCTCCCTCTCGTCATGCTGCCTCTTCCAGCGGCGTCGCGTGCCCTCGGCGCCGACGACGATGGAGAGGGTGAGGAGGAGGGTCGCGAGGACGCGCGTGGCCCGCGAGGTGTTGCGCCATCGGGTCTTGAAGAAGGCCTTCCACTTGTCGGTGAAGGCAGCGATGGCGACCTCTGCGGCCGTCCCCCGCAGGTTTGATTGCGCCGCCATGAGGCTGCGTGTCGACCTCGGGTTGCCGAGCCGGGGAGGAGCGCGAGGGTCGAGGAGGGAGGGGATGGCGACTAGGCTATAACACGGAGCGCAATCATGGGCCGTCGAGTGCACGTCTCGTCGTGAAAAGCGTGGGCTCGGATCAGATCGTCAAGGGCACCTGCGAGGGTGCTTCGGCCATCGGATTCCGTCGTCGACGTGCGGCGGCGCGGGCGGTGGTCGGGCGTTGAAAGGGTGCAGGTGACGGGCGCATCGGAGGAGGCGCTTGACGTCGCGGGCCAGACGGGCGCGGATGGCATGTGAAGTTCCGAGGCTGTTGCGCTAGCGAGCGCGGCAACCTGGCAGCCCGTGGAACGAAATGGTCAGCGGGCGCTTTCAATGGATGGACGGCGACGACGGAGTGGAGGCACCAGGGCGAGCCCGGCTCCAGCGCCTCCCCCGGATTCTCAGCGACCTCCAGGGCGCTCCAGCTCCGGCATCCACTGTCCCGTCCCAGCTGCCCAGACGTGAGGTGCCACAGGCTACCTAGGGCTGCCCCAGCCGGGCCACTGGAGTCACTGCGCCCCACGCCACGCCACCTCGTGCTTCCAACCTTCCAACCTTCCGTTGACCCCGGGCCGCCACGACATCTGACGGGCAACGTCGCGGATGAAGAGCCGACATGCTGCGGCGGACAGGGTTTGACACCTGCCACGCGCCGGGCCTCTCGTGGGCATTCAAGGTATTTCCGCACATCACGTACTCGTGGTCGCGTCACTTGCATATGCGGCTCTTGACTTGCACTACAGGCTGCACGGGGCAGCCGTCTGACGCCACAGCTCGAGGAAGGTCGAATCACATGTCGATGGGCTTGTCAGCCGTGAGCGAGAGGCGAAGTCGTCCTGTCAGTTTGTTCTAGAAGGCATTGATCCTGTATCCCGATTGAGATGCGAGTATGAAGTAAGACTCCTCGCGGCTCCTCTCAAAGACCATGTACGGCGTGGCGGTGTGGCGATTAATGAAGTCACAGGGTCCCGGGATCACTCGCAGCATGTGTCGTTTACCTGACGCCCCTTCTTTCCCGGCGCCCGCTGTCATCGCCGTGCCATCGGATCAGATCGAGCAGACGCATAAACAAAGGTACGACGACGAGCCATGGACATCAAACGCGAATTGGTCAGCCATGGCCGACCCCGCCATCATGCAGCACCCGCGGATAGATCGCCCTGCATCTCGACACGGTCAACCTCACCAAACGCCAAGAGACTTCCGTTTTGGCTGGCCAGCACCATGCGATCAAGAACCTTCGCTGTTTAAGCCTCCATTTGACGTGCATAGACATAGTGAAGACGATGCACGGCCCCCCTCCCTTCTTGGCTGCAAGAGACATAGGGGCATACATACGTTGGATGCCAGGAACGAGGACGTGCGCAACAAGGGCTCCCTCCTGCACTGGCAGCCACCAACGGTACGGACAGCCCGTCCCCGGTTTACTCGCAGGCATGTACGAAGTACTTCGTGCTGAGTGAGGGCCTTGGGGTGTCATATATCTGCCGTTCCCAAAGCGGGGACCCCACACGAGCAACACGAATGAAGCCAATTCCTGGTACGTCTGGCATATGCATCTCGCGCCGGAGAACGTGGGCCCTTTGGTGGAATTGGGACAAGGCATTGGCCGGTTCTGCGACGGGACAAACAGCTCGTGTCCTTCAGAAGGAGGTGCCTTGCTCTCCAGTCTCGACCCCATCTTGCTCATGTACGAGTACTCCGTACCGTCAAACCCGCTGATGAGTGGGAGGCGGCGCCCCGGCCCATGCGTGCCCGTGCATTGGCACCCGCCGTGCTCCCGGCTGCTCAGCGTTGGTGATTGGTGCTGTTGGCGCCAACGGTGGGTGCGTGCAAGCTGCATCCCGGGCCACTCCCACGGCCGCGTTCACCACCGGATGCCTTCTGCCCATGCCGTGGCACCCTGTCACGCCCAGCGCCCGCGTCGCATTTGCGCTGGGGTCGCAGGCGGACTGGAGACGCCCATTGTCCGGTTCGAGACCATCTGCAACAGTGTGGTCGCCAACGTCCGTCCGCCGACCGTATGCCTGTGCTTGTGCTCGCACGCGGCCCATCTCGTCGCGCACTTTGCCACCCAGCGAGAAAGAGGGGCCGGGAATGCCTTGAGGAGACGCCGACGGCTTGCTGCTCTGGCGGCGATGGAGATTGAGAGACACCAAACACTTGGATAGTTGCGACTGTGACCCCAACCGGCATCATGCGTCTGCGTCCCTGTGGCGTATATACTCGGTGCGCATGGTCGCATTGGAATTCTGGCCGCGACGACCAAAGATCACGAGACGGCGCATCCAAATCGACAGCGTGCTCAACGACGACACCATCCTGCTCAACCACACATGTGTGAAGCTGCTACCTCTTGTCACTTGTAGTTAGCCCGTAGAGTGAGCAAGGGACGCGCGCGAGCCGGCCCGCTGATGCAGAGCGCCACCCCGCAGAAGTAAATATCTCCTGCCTCCGCCTGAGGTGCGCAGCAGCACACACCAGCAGGGCACAGCACTCCCAAGCTCTGCGGCGTCAGCAACGTTGGCGCCGCCCGGGCGAGACAGAACGGGCGGACGACGGGAAGGGGGTCGTCACGCCCCCGAGACGCCAGGCACAATGGGGGTTAAGGGCCGCCCGCCCCAAGCACGACACGGCCAAACTCAGGTTGTGATGGATGGACCAGCCCATGGGCGAGCTCGGTGGATGGGATGGGATGGAGGGGACAGGATGGGCTGGGCCGGGCTGGGATGGGATGGGATGGGATGCTAAAATGAGAGCTTGGCCAGTGCTTTGTCCTACTGTAGTTGAGGAGATTGGAAGCCGGGGTGAGATCCATGACGGTTACGGCGCTAGTAAAATACAGTGCCAACGCCGCCCGCCGCACGTGCCGCCCGCCGCGCCGACGTCGGCACCCGCCATGTGCGAGCGGCCGCGCCGCGCACTCCAGCAGGTATCCCCGTAAGGCCTAGCTGTCCAGCCTCCATGCTCCAGGCTCCACCCACACCCTGCCGCACTGGCGCCCCCTCTCTCATCCATGCTCCCACCAACCCCAGCGCCCAGCCTGCCCAAGGAAGCCCAGCCCGTCCCTGCACCGCTGAGAAGAGGCGTGCGGCCTGCCGCCTACCTTACCACCACCTAACCCGACCAGCACCCGTCGCCGTCCCAGACCAGACCATACCCGCTGGGTTCTCCCAGACCATCACGTTTTAAAGGCAATCATCTCGCTTGCTGTGCCAGGTTCCTCAGCCGCCGCCGATACGCCGTTGCCCGTGCCGTGTGCCTGAGCTTCCTCGTCGCCGTGGTTGCCAGCCAGTCATCAGTCTTCACACAGCCCGGATTCCGTCGACCGCGATCTTCAATCCTCGACCTCCATCGACCGAGGGCTCCTCCTCCTCCCCGGCTGTCGACGCCCTTCGTTGCGCTCCCAAGCAACCCCCCGGTCCGCCTTGCCACTGCCCGACCTCACCCTGCCATCGCGCCGAGGCCCGTTCCGTCGACTCCCTAATTTCGCGTCTTCACGCCTCGTCACCAACAGCGTCTGTGTTTTCGATTGTCCGTTACTTCTCCTCCTTTCCCCCGGATCGAGACACCGGACGTCTCTCCTTCGCATACCCGCCGCCTCCCCGGAGGGCCGACGTTCTCAGTGCCACGGGGCTGGGCGCTCTGGAGTCGACGGTGAACCCGAGGTGAGTCCCACCGGCACTGCGTTTCGTGCGATCGTGTTCGAGGCCGCATCGCATCTCACCCCTTTCGCCGCCGCCCTTCGTCGTCGAACCCAGCCGGCCGAATTGTGCCCCGGGGCAAGCGCTCGAGGCAGCCTGGCAGCCCGTTGTTCGCCGCCGACGGGCGCCCGACTGCGACATTCACGCGTTAGCCAATGCAGATCCGCACGACGCTCGCGCAACCAACATATTCCTTGCCACAGTTGCTAACAGTCATCGCCTTTCCAGACACCATGTCCGACACTGTCGTGCCGTCAAACCCAGCCGCCGAGGTCCAGCCTGAGAAGGGCCCGGGCCACTCCGACATGAACGGGAAAGAGGCCGATCATCAGCTGCAGTCGGAAGACAGAGGATCAAAGGGCGGCCGGAGCTTGCTCAAGGTGCCATCCAGGTCGTCGTCGCAGCAGCGGAACCAGTCTTCGGTAGCCACCACGGGTCTCAGCGGGGCCACCGTCACCGATCATCGGAATAGCATCAGTGGGCGGTCGAAGGAGTCCAAGGGTAGCTTCGCAGACCACCAGCGCAACGGGAGCGCCTCGAGCAATCGCACCGGCGGTGAGAGCGAACAAGGGAACGCCGTCGCCAACTCTCAACCGAGCTCACCGTCCACCACGGAGCAAAGAAAGCGCAAGAAACGGGGGGGCCTGCTGTCGCTGCTGGGATGCTGTGGTGTCCCGGATGAGGCGAACGCGGTAGACGAGGGAGGAGCGGAGAACGTACATAAGGTGGAAAAGCTGCCACAGCGGCCTACCACGGCAAAGTCACGGCCCCAAGGCACCCAAGAACACCAGCCCACGAAGCAGCCGAACGAGAAGGAGCCGCAACACGCTGCACCTGCGACAGAAGGCAATGGCGGCCACGAAGCCTCGGGCTCGGCCCAACCTTCGGCTGCCGACACCGACCGCAATGACGATGCCAAACAGGCCTCGCCGCCCGCCGTCACAATAGAACCGCCCAAGTCCGAGGCTCAGGAGGCCGCGGTCCCAGAACGTGATAACTCGCACGAGGGTGATGGCGACGTTGGCATGCAGGACGCGCCCCCGTCGGAAGAATCACCGGAACCGTCCGCAGCCGTTGAGTCCGAACAGCCGCAGCAGAAGACTGTACCGCCGCCCCCGCCTGGTCCTGGCCCGGCTGTCGTCACGCCTCTTCCCCTTACCGAAGCAGCGTCGCCCGCGCCAGAGCCGCAGAAGTGGCTATTGCCCCCCATCGCGCCAGAGCACAAGGGTAGAAAATGCTTGGTGTTGGACCTGGACGAGACATTGGTCCACAGTTCGTTCAAGGTCAGCCTCATGTAAACCTCGGTTTCGCCCCTCATGCCACTGACATTTTGGACCAGATTCTTCACCAGGCGGACTTCACAATACCAGTCGAGATCGAGGGCAACTATCACAACGTTTATGTCATCAAGCGGCCCGGTGTGGACGAGTTCATGAAGAGAGTCGGCGAACTCTACGAAGTTGTTGTTTTCACGGCGTCGGTGTCGAAGGTGAGCCTCCCCCCTTCGGATCGAACGCAAACACGAGAATGCTGACGTCGGATCAGTATGGCGATCCCTTGTTGGACCAATTGGATATACACAAAGTCGTTCACCACCGCCTCTTCCGCGAGAGTTGCTACAACCACCAAGGAAACTATGTGAAGGACCTTTCGCAAGTCGGACGCGACCTCAAGGACACCATCATTATCGACAACTCGCCCACTTCCTACATCTTCCACCCGCAGCACGCAGTGCCCATCAGCAGTTGGTTTTCGGACGCCCATGACAACGAGCTGTTGGATCTTATTCCCGTTCTCGAGGATCTGGCTGGCCCCAACGTGTCCGACGTCAGCCTGGTTCTCGATGTCACTCTTTGAAAGACACCACTGGACACCGTTTCGACATGTTCGTTTTAATCGATCAACCTGAGTCGCCATTGCGAGAGCCACCCCCGACCTGCAGTATTGTCAACATAGCGGAAGGCGTTTGGTTGAGATCTTTCGTTTCCTCGTGTAGATGTACTACTGTCTAATCATACATAATCGGTCCGGGCAGTGGAACTTCGATTCCGCCCCTCCCTCTTCGGCTCGACATTTTCTTTGACCGATGGCGAGCGGGAGCTGGCCAGTGGCCGGAGAGCCAGCTCCCGACAGGGGTATTCTCGAAATGGCCAAGCATTTTTACATCCAAAAGGGGGCTCGAAAGCAGGAAGATATGGAACGGAGATCACCGAAGACGAAGGCATGGAACAGCAAATTTGGAGCGGGAGCGGGCCATTATTCCCCCCCCACGGATCTGGAATCACGGCCTTGTCCTTGGCGCGCATTTGGCAGCGTATCGACCAGACAGACGCAGAGTCGTCGCAAGACGGGGCCGAGCCCCCTCTCTTGGTCACAGTCGCGAGAGAGTTGCGAGCTGGAGCCGGCGGCTGGTAATCTGGAGTCCGCCCAGACAACTCGAGCGTTGTTTTAGTTGCACTAGCAATTCCCTTTGTCAATTCGTTTGCGTCTTTTTATCTTCTCCCTTTTCCACTTCGCTTCGTTTTTTGGATTGTACATATACCAAGCGCGCCTGCCAGCAGGCTCGGGGCGAAGGGGGCTGGATTTTGGGTTGGTGAACGGGGCTCCTGTTGACTTAGATGCAGCATGGCCGCAGCGGAAGACTGAGGGTGATAGGCAACCCTCCCTGTCATACATAGTCTCCCCTAAACTGTAAAAGCGGATGAAGACCTCGCATCCCGCCTGTATTGCTGGATCCACGTCAGTGACATGCCGTGAATGTATAGACGCAACAAAGTCGGACAATACATGGTCGCACCCAAAAACGCTGCGAATGAGCTGAGGTGCGCTGAGGTGTGTCTGCCTTCACAGAGCTCCAGAGTGGGGAGTGGGACCGCCGCTGCTTGGGCGGGTGGGTGGCTGGCAGCTCGGCGGAGGTCTGTCGGACAATCGTTGGGCCGGGCACCATTGGCGCGCGCGCCCCTTGTGGTGCATGTGGCCTCAATTCGGGGGCAATCTCGCCTGGTCGCAGCTCAGCTCAACCGCCATCGCCTGTCGCAACATCTCGTCGCTCTCTGCCAATTCGATTCCAGGGTCCTGCAGCGATTCCGGATCGTTAATTCTCGGTACTTGCCTTCGCTTCTTCCACAATGGTATGTGCTCTATTTTCGCCATGGCCATAGTGGCCGGCGATGTCGCCACGGCGCAACGAAGGCGGCAAGGACGCATGGTCATCACACGAGCTCGCCCATGTCCACCCGCCTTCTCACTGCCTAGCTGCGATGAGTCAATTACTGACCAGGCCGTCTTCTTAGTCTTCTCCTCGCCCCTCCTCTCCCGTCAACTCGCCCGCCGCGGCCAGCGGCGCGAGCGTCGGCCGGCCCTCTTCCCCGACTCCCCCCGGTGGCGCCCGAACTGCCATCCGACGACGCGCTGCCGCCGACCAGAAGGAGAAGATCGCCAATGCCCGCCCGACGAGCACGAGGGCGGCTGGTGCTGGCGGCTCCAGCAGCACCATGCTGAGTATGTACTGCAATGGGGAACTCGCGGCATCCAGAAGCCGCTGAGGACCGGTTGGCGATGGAATACTGACCGAATTTTGTAGGGCTCTACACGGATGAGTCTCCCGGCCTGAAGGTCGACCCCGTCATTGTCCTGGTTCTGTCTCTCGTCTTCATCTTCAGCGTCGTTGCTCTGCACAGTAAGTCCGATGGCGATCGCATTGCAACACGGGACATCGGGCTAACACGTCACACAGTCATTGCCAAGCTCACCCGGCGGTTCTCGAGCTAAGCGAAGAACGAAAGCGCAATGGCGGATGTTTCGAACGAGACGAGCCCGCGGTCGGCTGTGTCTCATTAGGCAAGCCTAGCCCGGAGCTTGGTCTGCGGACGATGGTCGAGGGTCAGCGGGCATCATCATGATGGAGAGGATGTGCATGTTTTCGTGCATTCGACGAAATCATAGGGCTGAGTAAAGGGACGTTGAAGCTGCAGCTTGTATTATACCAAAACACATCCAAATTTCACGAACATGGCGTTGTGGCTCTACGAGGTCTTTGGACACGATCCGGTGTGAAGTACTATATCACCAAGACACAGCAGACCAACAGCATCGGCCAGCTATCCGTGAAATCGTTGGAGCCTGTTATTAGTCTCCATGCTCCTTTCAAGGCGGTCCGGCTGGTGCACCCGACGGGGCTGGATGATGACGACGCCTTGGCGGATGAAGTCGACCTCAAGACCCACGCGTAGCTCCAGGCACCGGTGAACAGCACCCGAAGCCGAGGCCATTGGGGAACATCCAAGGGTGTTGGACAGACAGGCCCTGGGCTGCGAGGGTTTATTGGAGGACTGGTGGGAGCTCTCCTTGAAGCAGGGCGGCGTCGTGGCTCAGCCTCGACGCTAGCCGTCAAAGTGCCTCGAGCAACGCGTCCGGGCTGCTCCCGTCCATGCCCACGACACACGAGCCGCCGCCCGCAGTGGGGGATGGAACGACGATGGGGGGGAGGGGGGGAGCCACAAGGGGGGCCACGATGGGCCTCCAACAGGGCGCCGTCGACTTTTGTGGACAACGCGAGGCAAGCGACGGGCGGCCTTGGTTGGCCAGTCCTTTTTTATTTTTGCCAACGGAACTCGCTGGGCTGGGCTCCTCGTTTTCCGTCTTGGGACCCGAAACGGGAAGTATTCGAGCGAGGCGGCAGCAGCCGCGTTGCGTGCGCAGAAAATACCGTAATGCTACTGGCGGTGATGATGTCCGGCACGCAGCACAGAGTGCTGTACCCACACGATGGTTTAGCAGATTCCAGGTCGCAGCGGCCGCTGGAGGGGTCGTACGAAGTAAACTTATTATTTGGATCAGACTCCTACGGACGCAGGGCTGAGCCGAGCTTTGCTGGGCAAACCGCGCGCGCGTCGACCCGCCCCGTCTGCCGGCGGGGGCGAGGAATAAATAGGCAAGGTATACCTGCCGGCACATCCCAGGGCAAGCCGATGCTGGTATTAACTAGTACTGCTGCTTCCGCCTGCTCCTGTCCTGTGTGTGTGTGCACGCGCTGCACGTGCGAGTGAGTAAGTGAATGAGCCAGTGTGCGTGTGCCGTCATTTCTCCTCATTGCGCTGGTTCCCTGCTTTTGTGGAGGGGCACACCTCACTGAGCGCCTGCTAACCTCACAAGCTCCCGGTCCCTCAACTCGCTCACCTGCCTCGACTCAGGCTCCCAGCAACGACGAGCCCCCTCCTCTCAACTGCTTCGCACAAACCGGCAGCCCTCGTCTCCTACGGGCGTTTCAGACAAACAGCATAAGCAAGCTCAGCACCATATCGTCCTCGTTACGCGCAGTCATTCATTCACGCATACCCATGCCGCGGGCGAACCGGCACAGAAGCAGCGCAGGCTAGGCGCGCGCGGGGCGCCAGAACCTCCAAACCGTCACCCACCCTTTGGTGCCTTTACCTACTAGGACGGCGAAGGACCTTGCTACTGTTGAGAAAGACCATATCGAGCAAGGGACAGCTTTTCAACCACCACCGGCGAGATGGAGGTCCTCGACGAGAAGCAGCGACTGGCGAGCCAGAACGCCAGTCAGGATCCGCCGCAGACGACGCTGCCGTTGCCCCGCGCGCCCCTCGACGACGACGGCAGCGAGGCCCTCGTCACCGACGGCTTCCAGCTGCCGAACCTGGACGCCGAGCCGTCGCAGGAAGAGCCCCCCGCCTATGGCGAGAACCCAGACCAGGTCCACTTCAACCAGCCCGGGTTCGAGGCCGGTGCCGAAGTCACGGGTGTGTAGCAGAAACCCCAGAGTCCCCGTCGTAGATAAGGGCGAGCAGCTGCTTGAGCCGTATGTACCTGGCTAACCCGTAACCAGACGATGGCCGAGTCAACATCAACATCAACACCAAGAACAGGCGCCTGGCCGACCTGCTCCAGCCCACCCTTGACAGCCAAATCTCCGTGGAGCCCCAGCCCGCGCTCCCTCCCGCCTACATCCCGCCCAGCCTCGGGGGCGAGCCCGGCAAGGCCCCTCCCCCGCGCCTCAACGTCGTCGTGCAAATCGTCGGCTCCCGCGGCGACGTCCAGCCCTTTGTCGCCCTCGGCAAGGTCCTCAAGGACACGTACGGCCACCGCGTCCGCATCGCCACCCACGCCACCTTTCAGACCTTTGTCGAGGACAACGGCCTCGAGTTCTTCAACATAGGGGGCGACCCCGCCGAGCTCATGGCCTTCATGGTCAGGTACCCTGGCCTGATGCCGGGCTTCGACGCGGTCAAGAGCGGCGAGGTCAGCAAGCGCAGGCGCGGGATACAGGAGATGCTGCTCGGCTGCTGGAGATCTTGTATCGAGGCTGGAGACGGTCTGGGCCCGCCGCCGAAACCGCACCCTCGGAGCGAGCCGCTTGACCTTTCGCAAGGCATGCCTGGCGACCAGACGCAGGAGCCTTTTGTGGCTGATGCCATCATTGCAAATCCGCCCAGCTTCGCGCACATCCACGTTGCAGAGAAGTTGGGAATCCCGCTGCACATGATGTTTACGTGAGTACTCAACGCTGGCCCCCCCAAACTCCTTGCTGCTGACGACGTCCTTCCCTCCACAGTATGCCATGGTCTCCGACCCGGGCGTTCCCCCACCCTCTCGCCAACATCCAGTCCTCCAACGCCGACGATGTCATGACCAACTACATGACCTACACCCTCGTTGAAATGATGACCTGGCAGGGTCTTGGCGATGTTATCAACCGGTTTCGAGAAAAGGCCCTAGACCTCGCTCCGCTGTCCTTCATCTGGGCGCCGGGCCTTCTGACCCGCCTCAAAGTCCCGTACACGTATTGTTGGTCACCGTCGCTAATCTCCAAACCAAACGATTGGGGAAGGAACATCGACATCTCCGGCTTCTACTTCCTCAACCTTGCGTCCTCTTATACCCCTGACCCCGAACTAGCCGCGTTTCTCGAAGCCGGTCCTCCACCCGTCTACATCGGATTTGGATCAATCGTGGTGGACGACCCAAACGCCATGACGCGCATGATATTCGACGCAATTCACCTGGCCGGAGTTCGAGCTTTAGTGTCCAAAGGCTGGGGTGGGCTGGGTGCCGATGATGTTGGTCTCCCAGAGGGCGTCTTTATGCTCGGCAACGTCCCACACGACTGGTTATTCCAGCACGTATCATGTGTCGTCCACCATGGAGGAGCTGGCACCACCGCTGCCGGTATCAAGGCCGGAAAACCGACGCTTGTCGTTCCTTTTTTCGGCGACCAGCCCTTCTGGGGCGCCATGATAGCCAGAGCCAAGGCTGGGCCTGATCCTGTTGCCTACAAGGACCTCACTGCCGAGAAGCTGGCTGAAGCAATCAAGTTCTGTCTCCGGCCAGAGACTCTCGAGCAGGCAAAGGAGCTCGGAGAAAAGATTCGCGAAGAGCGTGGCACCGAAGTCGGGGGTAGGAGCTTCCATGCCCATCTGGACATGGACTCGCTGCGGTGTTCGGTGGCACCCAGCAGGGCGGCAGCTTGGCGTGTTAGGAGAACCAAGTTCCGACTTTCGCCCTTGGCGGCGGCTGTCCTCGTTGACGAGGGCCTGCTTCAGTACTCCGATGTCAAGCTGTGAGTTATTCTGTTGCAGTGACCTGTTGTCGCCCTTACTGACCATGGTGTAGTTACCGGACTTTCGAGTATAACACAGAGGACCAGCCGCCTGATCCAATCTCAGCCGGAGCCTGTTCGCTTGTCGGTGACCTCACCAGCATCGGCATGGCTGTCGCCGACATGCCGCGGGAGATTTTCAGGACGCGTCAGCGCGCCAGCGAGAGTCAGAGCGCCCAGTCGTCTGTTCTCGGTGGCTCCAGCAAGCAGACACTGGCCACGAGTGACACGACGTCGAGAGTCGAGTCCAACACAGACACCAACAGCATCGCACCCATGGTTCGCGCGCCTCCCAGCGCAAGCGCCAGTAGTGTCAACCTTCCCGAGCTCCCAACATCTCCGAACGCGTCGCAGCAGTCTCTCCCAGAATCGTCGCTTGTAACAACAATCGACTCAGAGCAGAGAGGCTCCGGAGAAGGCCCCCGAGCTCGGTCGTCGAGCGGCCAGCTGCGGCAAACGTTCTCTCGCAGAGACTCGTCGCCGATGGGAATGAGCATCGGAGCCGCAGTGGGCGCCGGTCGCGGCGTCGGCCGTGTCGTTTCCACAGGTGTCAAGTCGCCCATGAACTTTTGCCTCGGCCTTGCCAAGGGTTTCAGAAACATGCCTAGGCTGTACAACGACGATACCATCCGACCAATCGAGAAAGTGACGGATCTCAGCAGTGGAATCAAAATTGCTGGCAAGGAACTGGGCTACGGGTTCTTTGACGGCATCGCTGGGATGGTCACGCAGCCGCTTCGGGGTGCTGAAAAGGAGGGCGCGGGCGGTCTTGTCAAAGGCATCGGCAAGGGTATCGGGGGGCTGATTACGAAGCCAGCAGCTGGTAAGTTCATGGTGAGACGGCGACTTGACTGGCACATGCTAACAGGTCCCCGAAGGTATCTGGGGCGTACCGGCATACATGATGCAAGGAGTGCACGCCGAACTCAACAAGCAATTCGCAAGAAGCGTGCACAACTACATCATCACGTCAAGAGTTGTGCAGGGACGGCAAGACCTGGACAAGGCGACTCCCGAGGAAAGGGCGGACATTGTCCGGCGCTGGAACAACTCCAAGTTCGACCTCAAGAACTTTTACATCTTGAAGAGAAAGGAGAGGGTCGCGGAGAAGGCTCCAGCCGAGTCCGAGTCCGAGACCGCGTCGGTCGTTTCGCCCTTCTCCCGCCCGAAGACGAGCTGGCTCCATACCCGCCACATGTCTGCCGAGGACAGGAAGAAGCTGCAGGCTCAGAAGGGCCTTCTGAAGCGAGGCTATGTCGACGCGCCCGTCCCTCAGCCGGCAAGCAGCAGCTCGAGCACTCGGCAGAGCTTGTCGGACGACGCAGAGTACGAGCAAGCCATCCGCGCGTCGGTGCAAGAGACGTCGCACGGCAACGCGGAAGAGGATGCCATGATAGAAGCAGCCATCCGCGAAAGCGTCAGGGTCATGCGGCAGCGTGGCGGCCTACCCGAGACTGTCCCTGAGTTGCCCGAGAAGGACATCGGGAGGAACCCGACCATCTTCGACGACGAGGAGTACCAGATCACGGACGAGGAGTACCAGTCGCTCATCGAGAGGGCCATTCAACAGAGCCTGGTGAATCACATGTCCTCCTACACGGCCCTCCCGCAGGAGGAAGGCATCGTGGAACTGGATGCCGTGACGACAAACCGCTCCGCCGGCTCTGGCCAGGGCGCTGCGCCTTACCAGCCGACCGAGGAGGAAGACGCCGAGCTGCTGCGGGCAATCGAAGAGTCCAAGAGGCAGCAGACGCCGACGCAGCCAGAAGACGACGAGGAGCTGAAGCGCGCGATCGAGGCCTCCAAGGAGCACCTGGAGCACGAGGCTTCCCAGCGGACCGAAGAGGAGATTGTGCTCGAGTACGTCAAGAAGCAGAGCCTCGCCGAGGAGGAGTACCGGCGGCAGATTGGCAAGGGCAAGGGGAAGGCCGAGGAGAACCCGCAGGGTGACGACGAGGATGAGGAGCTCAAGAGGGCGCTGGAGGAGAGCCTGCGGATGCATAGGGGAGACGAGTCAGGGCCTTCGGGGTCGAGGGCGCATGAAGACATGAATCAAGAGGCAGAGCGATGATTTCTGTTTTTTTCTGCATCTTTTGGATATAGACGAGTATACGGGATACCCAGCATGAATGTTTACCCCTTGTCTTACATGTCTCGGGCTGCAGATGGAGACCAAGTGTGATATGCAAAGTTAAACTCGATGGGCGGGTGCATGAAATAACGAATTGTACTATAAACAACGAAAGCCAAAGGCGTCAGGAGTCCATAGAGGGCACATGGCATTACCTGGGCCGCAATACCCATTCGTCCCCCCAGACACGAAATTCAGAACCCATACTCCAACATAACAGGCATTGGAAGGGCGGAGAAGGAAGCAGTCCGCAGTCCAGAGAGAGACGAGTCGTGAGTATGCCACAACAGGCACGGCCACATGCAAACCCCACCATCCACCCATCACTTACTCACCCGCGCAACCCCCCGAGGAGGTCGTGAAGCTCCTGCTCCTCCGCCTTGACGTGCGTGTACCGCGCGTGCAGCATCTCGACCATGACGGTCGTGGACCACACGTAGGCGAGGGCGTTGGCCGCGAGGAGGGCGACCTGGGCCATCATGGCTGCTCCTCCTCCTCCACCGCCAAAGCCCCCCAGCAGTCCGTTCTCGCTACCACCGCCGCTCCTGCTGATGGCACTCGGGAGGTAGCGAAAGGCGTAGGCGACGAGCGTCGACTGCGCGACGAAGAGGACGATCCAGAGACGGACGATGGACCACGCGCTGTTAGCTTTCTGCGCGACTCTGTCAGCTGTCCGCGTGGAAGAGTCCTGTGCCAGAGTATGGACTATAAGGGCTAGGTAGGCAAGCCCTAGAACCGGGTGAAAAGGGGGGAAAGGGGCAAGGGAAGGAGAAATACCTCCACCTCGTCCAGGACCTTTTCCCAGAAGCGGCTCGCGCGCGGCTGCTCCCCCCTCCAACGCGCAATCGCCTCGTCGACGTACGACCGCGGCAGCACGAGGGCGAAGCCGCGGTACCGCTCGGCCAGGCGCTGCGCCAGGTCGGCCATGCGGCGGCGGCGCGCCCACTCGCGGCCCCCCGCGGGCAGGCGTGCGAGGCGGGCGCGGCACCCCTCGGCCAGGTCCTGGTAGAGCGATGGCAAACGGCGGAAGTGGTCGGCGGCGGTGGCGGCCGAGGCGGGCTGCCGGAGGGGCAGCCGGGCCTGGAGGTAGGCCTGGTCCTCGGGCGAGAAGTTGGGCGGCGGCGGCAGGGGGAGGTTGAGACTCAGTCGGCGGCGGCCGTCTGGCGCTGAGGCAGCGGTGGTGGTGGTGATGTTGCCGGGGCCGGCGCGGTGATATGACGGCGGGATGGTAAAGTGCGAGTGCCGTCGCGGTCCGGCTGTGCGTAGCCAGTCGTCAGCAAAAGGAGATGCGAAGCCTTGGTACCCCGGGATGTCGGCGGACACGTCCTCGGAGTTGCCGACGCCAGGTGCGCTGGGATCAGCAAGCCCTCGCGCAGGTCGACGAGGATGAGCGGCATGGGGAGAGGGAGGAGGATGACGAGTCGGTAGTGGTGGAGGTGGTGGTGACGATGAGGATGGGAGTGGCTGCCGTGCGCCGTCGAGCTCAAACACTTGTGCATAGACGAGGTAGTCCATCCGGCCTGCACATGCACGCCACACGTCGGTCAGTCCGAGAGACCTCACAGCTTCGGTCGACGGAAACAGACAAGTGCATCGATGCGGGAAGATCCAAATCGACACGACAGCAGAAAGAGAAGAACAAAAGGGAGCTGTTGTCACTCACTCTCAGAAGGTGGAGGCTCATCATCACCCCACGGTTGGTGTCTTGCCTCAGCTCGTCCTCGCCCTCGAAACTGGGCTTCGGAATGGCGACGTCCACGCTCCTCCTCGCCATCCCCCCTCTCGCTCGGACCACGCTCCTGCGGACGGTCGTCTTCTCTCCTCCGTGAATGCAGCGGCGGCAACGACGAAGACATGGCGTCCTTGCGGTGTCTGGGAGAAGACGAAGATGGCGACGCCGGCGTTGACGACCACGGCGACGAGAGTGCTCGCAGTACCACTCGTCGATGAAAGATGTAAAACGACGACACAACCCGCAACGTCTCATCCACGAGGCTCCGGTACCGCCTATAACCACTCTCCGCCAGCACGCCCCAGGCCGACACGACAGCCCAGATGAAGTGCCAGCTCATCGTCGCTATTTCCGATCCAAAGAGCCACATGACGTTCAAAGTCGGCGTACGCACCCCGCCACCATGACGAGGCTGGGCCGCGGAAGGGATCTTCAGTCCGCGGCTTGGGCTAGGCCTCCCTTGACCAGATGCTTGACAGCTCAAATGGCGGGGAAAGAGGGCAGATAGGCTTGCAGGGTATGTGACGTGAACGAGAACGACAAGACGGGACAATGGCACGAGGGCAAGGATCCTCCTCCTCAAACTGGGAACTCGTGGCCTCGGAAGAATGAAGACAGCCAGGTTGAAACTAGTTGAGCGGTGGAATGGGTTGAGGAAACAAGGTGAGTTATGATTATGGAAACGGATCTGCGCACGCTCTTACACAAGACCATGTCCAAATGCCCCAACAAGCTTCCACGGCGCAGCTGCGCCTAAGACGCATCCCCTGGCCGGTCAGTTGGAGGGAGGGGCATATACCATCGGTCCCCGCGGCCCTATCCATGCGATATCGAATGCGTACCCCAAACGCCAAGCTGCCACGCGGCTCTCATGGCCATCCGGCCCCGAAAGACTGCAGAGAACTGCAAGCAAAGAAATGTGTTACATCGGCTGTCGATCATCTGTGTCCATAAATACGTCTTGTGCTATCATGCGATGCAAGTCTCACACATGAGCTCCACGCGGCGATCCTCGAGATAAAGCCGTGGCGGCGGCCCGAAACGACGACCCGCCGACGGCTCTACTTTGACGGGAACTTTGGGGAGCCTCGATGATTTAGCCATACTGCTGTTGACCGTGTTGCTGCTGCGGTGGCGGGCCCTGCTGCGGCCATCCTTGCTGAGGCGGAGGGTAGGACTGGTACTGTTGCTGATGGCCTCCACCGCCGCCACGTCCACCATTGGCCATGGCCACGACATCGGGGCGGTTCTCGAGCGGCTGCTGAAAGCTACAGATGTGGCATGTGACGTCCTTGTACCCCTTGATGGTGAAGGGGATGACGGGCTATGCAGCAATGCAGGGTTAGCTCCCATCGAAATCTCGACATAGGGCCCGGATGAGAACGGGCGAATGGGCAGGGCAGGGTGAGGGCCTCGCGAGGCGACAAAGCGCGAGCAATGACGCGACGCGAGCGGAGTGCGTGAGAGCTGGGTGGAGTGGCGGCGCGGAGAAGCAGGATGCGACTCTGGACGGGCACTTACAATGAAGCAAAAGGTGAACCAGGGGTTGCTCTTGAGCACATGGCCCGACATGTTCCCGCAGTGGTGGCATTGGCAGACAATGCCCTCGTAGCCAGGGACCTCCTTGCGGAAGGTGTGCTCACCGCAGATGAAGAAGAAGAACATGGTGGGTGGTGAGGGGCGCTATTGCTTAGGTGCGCGAGCGAGGGCTCCTCGGGGGCGTCGTGATATTCGCGGGCGCACGGAAGTGGGTTTCACGACAGAGCGCGGCAGTGTGATGTCGGGCTTGAGGCTAGGGCGTGCGTCTGTCGCGAGCCTGGGGCGGCAATATGCAGGCCGTCAGATGGTGCAGCGGCCCTGTCGGGACTCGGGACACGTGGGCGGCGAGCGCGATGCGCACGGCTTCGAGAGGCCAGGGCGGTCGAGGCGGTGGAGATGTTGGATGAAGGATCCGAGTGTGATGTGTGTATCCAAGCAGTCGGGATGAAATGGAGGCGGCGGCGACGTGGGCGGCAAGGGTCAGGCGGAGCGAGAACGAGCCGATCGGGGCAGGTGGGCGATGGGGGATTCCTCGACTCGATGGAGGAAAGAGGCCAGTCGCGGTGCAGCGTTGTGGTGTGGTGGAGGGCGGCCTGTTTGCGCCGCAAGCGGGAGCGCGAGGCAGAGTCCCTGGCGCCTGGCAGGGGCCGGAGCAGGAGCTTGAGCTCGAGCTAGTCGGGTCGTGCAGTCGAGCGAGCAGCGGCGAGGACCCGAGGCGAGGGCGAGATAGTCACGCAAGACGGATGGTGTGGTAGCAGAGCGAGGATGGGAGGTGGGGGGTTTTGGCGGTACATGCAGGCCGACGAGGAGGAGGAGGAGGAAGAGGAGGGCGACGGGCGGCGATGGCACAAAGCAAGCCAAGAACGGCGCAGCCCAGGGTGATGACGAGGCGTTGATGCCGAACGAGGGCGAGGGCGCGCGCCGGGGCCAAAACGTGAGGGACCAGTGACGCCATCCAATGGGCGACCGCCGGCACCTGCAAAATAAGGTACTCGTATGCTTGTTTGCGTATTTCGCACTTGCCAGGGTGCGGAGAAATACGTCGTGCTTCGTACTGCTACCCGCCGAGGCCACCGAGCTCCGCGCCAAAGTCGACTTGGTTGCGGGTACTTTCTACGGCAGTGATGCTTCGTTGGATGTACAAGACATGTACAGGTAACTCGCGCGCAATTGCCAACAGGCACGGGCTGCAACGCGCTTTCCATCCATGGCGCATGCCGTGCGCATGAGCAGGCAGGCTGGAGGCAGGAGCTTGTCGGCAGCTTCCCTGGGCTGGGCTGCAGGCTGTTGCCTTCCCTTCCGTCCCGAGACGGCGCAGGTCCGACCGAGAGGGAGCTTCCAAGGTCCAAGGTTCCCAGGTTCCAGCCGCCATCCGCTGAGCTCCCTGCAGCAAAGCCTCCACGCCGCCGCCGCCGCGCGCCATTGGCCCGCCGCCCCACACCCTCCTGCAGCTGCCGACAGCGGCTCGAGCGGGTACGTCCCAGGCCATGGAACCCCACGTCGACTGCTGCAGCCGCAAAAAAAATGTCGAGCTTCGTTCAACCACAGACGTCCCGACGACTCAACAACGCCCCCGACGGCTCGTGTCCACCACCCGCGAACCAAGGCTCTCTGTCACCCTCTGTCGCGATTGAGGAGACCACTTCCTCAGAGTATCGACCAGACACGCGTCGTCATTTGATTGGCCTCGGCGCGGCTTCCGATCGACCATGACAGACCTCGGCAGCCGTCTATAGCCTCACTCTGCATCACACCAGGCGCCGCGAACCGCGTGGCCCGCCATCGCCACCATGCTCTACGACCTCAACATCGCGTGGTCGCCGACCACGCCCCAAGACCGCCTCCTGCAGACTCTCGCCATGGCCTCGTCTCTGGGCTACGCCACCGTCGCCCTCAACCACACGGTCGAGCTGCCGTTCCCCGCGAAGCCCACCTCCCCGTTTCCGCCTCTCCCCGGCGACGACTCCTCGGCCTCAGCCTCCAAGACGAGGCTGCCCCATGTATTGCACCGAGCCACCTTGCCTCTGGCCGACCCCGCCGCGTCAAACTATCGACTCCCCGCCCTCGCCGCCGTCTACGACATCCTCGCCATTCGCCCACTCACTGACAAGGCGTTTCAAAACGCTTGTCTGACGCTCGACATCCCCATCATCTCCCTCGACCTGACGACCCACTTCAACTTCCACTTCCGGCCGAAGCCGTGCATGGCTGCCGTCTCGCGCGGCGTGCGCTTCGAGATCTGCTACGCCCAGCTCCTCTCCGCCGACTCTCGCGGCCGCGCAAACTTCATCGGCAACGTCACGAACCTCTTTCGCGCCACCCGCGGCCGTGGCTTCATCATCAGCAGCGAGGCAAAGACGCCGCTGGGTTTGCGCGGCCCCTCGGACATTGTCAACCTGCTGAGCGTTTGGGGCCTCGCCAGCGAGCGCGGCCTCGAGGGCTTCCGCTCCATTCCCCGAAGCGTTGTCGTCAACGAAGGCATGAAGCGCAACGGCTTCCGCGGCGTCATTGACGTTGTCCAGGTGGCCACCAAGACGGGCAACAACGATGCTTTGGGCGACGGCACTGAGTCGGCACAAACTTCGGACGCCAACTCGGCGGCCAAGTCGGTCAAGAACCAGAAGCGCAAGAAAGGAGACGACGGCGGTGGTCAGCCTCCGAGCAAGAGGCAGGCCAAGAAGATGAAGCTGGCAGCACGCTCCGCTGCTTCCAAGTGAGCAAGCAACGATGACGACTTGTCATTCGGCAATTTACCCATGATACCCTGTGGACGACGCCACAACACGCCGATAGACGGAGTAGCGAAACGAAGCAAGATGTATTCCTACGACATCAGAATCTGTACGTGCTATATATGTTGCAAGCGTAATGTGCCATCCCAACGTCAACATCTACTCTATGGAAGCCTGTCACCGAGCAGACGTTGCCGATGGTGCCCCTTGAGCAAGTGGGCCAAGGTCCAGCTGGCTGCTCAGCGAGAGGCCGGATATCGTCAATGGCTGCGCGGGCGCAACTACGCCAGCATTCGGCGTGGTGATTGCAGACTCGAGCGGCGCCGAGGCATCCGCGGGAAGCCCTCCGAGCGTTATGGACGGGGCCAGTCTCGCGGCACTACTGCTGGCGCTGGCGCTGGTACTCGTCCCAGCGCTCGTGCTGCTCGTGCTCGCGCTCTTGTCGCTGCCGCTCCCAACTCCAGCACTACTGCGGGTCTCGGCAGGAGCAGCAGGGGACGGGGTTGGCAGCACCAGTGTGGTGCTTGACGAAGGGCTCGGGGCGATAGGCGCCGCTTCTTGTGAGGAAGGTGCGGCTGCCTGTGACGAGGACGCGGCCTCGCCTCCCTGATTAACTGCCGACGACTGAGCAGGCGGGCCACCGGCGCCAAACGTCGTCGTGGGCTTCTCTGACTCTGGAATTGGAACCGTGGAGACCCCGACCCCGTTCCCGTCAGCGTTTGGCGTGGCCGGGATGACGGCGGTGGCAGAGTTGCGATTGCGCTGCGGGTTCTCGTTTGGAGGCTGCTGGGCAGGAGGGTTCTGCCCCCCGGGCTGCTGAGGAGCGGCCTTGAGAACGAGTCAGTCTAGTCTTCGCAAAGTCGAAATGCTACCTTCCAAAGGGGACTTTACCGGCTGTGACGCGCAAGGGGCCGTGACCGTCTGGGTGACTGTGCTGGCGAGCTCCGTGATGGTGACCGTCGACGCTTGTCCGTTGCCCTGAACGGTCCGGGTGACGGTTGGGCCTGTTCCATTTCCTTGAACGGTTTGCGTGATGGTCGTGAGACGAAGCCTGTGAAGTAGCAACATTCCAGTTAGCCCTTGTTCCCACGTTCAGCTGCGTAGCGTGGTGATTGTATGACGTACCCTTCAAATCCAGGCTTTGTCGCTGGCGCGCCGAGGACCGGGTTTGGGGGAGCCGACGTGCCGTTGCCGCCGCCGCCGGGTACGGCTCTGTCCACGGTGACGGTCTGCACGATTGTTCGCGTCACCGTCGCGGGAGCAGCGCCGCCGTTGCCGCCGCCATTGTTACCCCCGCCTCTGTTGTTGTTGTTGCCGCCGCCACCGTTGCCGCCCCTATTGTTGCCTCCGCCATTGCCTCCTTGGTTGTTACCACCGCCATTGCCTCCTTGGTTGTTACCTCCTCCTCCTCCTCCTCCTCCGTTCCGTCCTCCACTGTTGCCTCCTCGGTTGCCGTTGCCGTTGCCGCCGCCCCCGTTGTTGTTGTTATTGCCGCCGCCAATAATCTCCAGGTTGTCCAGGCCGAGCAGCTGGCCCAACTGGCTGAGGGCCCCCCTCTTCTCTAGGCTACGGAAGCGCTTCTCTTGAAGCCCAAGCGCGGCGGCCTGAAGCATGTCAGTCCTGTATCAGCATCCAAATTGTTCCTCTGGGTCCGGGCCATGATGACAACGGGAAAAGGGGTTGGTACCTGCACCACAAGCCACGCGATGAGTACGTGAAAAGCCGTGGCCCTCATGCTGACCATGAGCAACGTCCGGCGCTGTGTGACGAACTCGGAGGATGGCTTTCCAGAGGCGGCACTCCGCGGAAGAAAACTTTTGTACAAGGAAACAGTCCTGCTGTTGTAGCGAAGTTCCAGAAGGTATGAGTCGTTGTGGAGAGGTGCTTGCAACTGGCGCTGAGGACTTGGCTGTAGCTGATGCGAGCAGGGAGCGCAACGACCGCCAGAGCCTTGCCTTGCCTGAGCAACCAGTCCAGCTGATCTGTGGCTTGTGATGACTCTGTCAGAAACAAAGATCTGCGACGCTTGTTCGAGGCGAGCAGGGCAAAGATAAAGAAACGGGCGACACGGAGTCCGCGTACCGACGAACAGCCCCGGGGAGGGTCACAAGCTTTCGTCCTCGTCCTAGTCTCTTACGCTCTGCCGGTGGCCCTTCAACATTCGGGTCTGAGAGCCGAGTGAATCGCACGGTGATGAGGAAACAGATTCACTATGGAGGAGCGAGCGGCCAGAGCGTGCGAGGCCAGGCGCCAGCGAAGGGGCAGCACCCGCGGTTTGGCGCCGTGGCGGATCTGAGACCGGAGGCTGGCGAGAGCGGCAGTAGCCACGATCTGCTGAGTGCAAGATGGGATGCAAGGACGAGTGAGGTCGAGAGAATGGGTCGGCGTCGCTGCCCACAGACACACGGGGCTTGCCAACAGGAGCGCATCTCACTACAACATGGACGGCGGAGCGCTTGATGGAAATTTGGGGAGTTTCTACCAAGGACCTGGGGCCTGCGACCGGCGGAATCGGGATACTCGAGGGGCCTGTGTCAGAGAATGGCATGTTTTCCCAGGCAGAGGTAGATTCTCAAACGGTGGTGCGCAGTAGAAGCCGGTCGTGAAGTCGCTCCGTGTAAGTCGTTTACCGTGCTGCGCTGTGGGGTACTTGGTACCCAGGGGCGAAACCTGAGACTGGCTAGGCCACCCCAAACAACTCCTGTTTTGGGGGCGTTGCTGGAGACGGCGCCAGGGTCTCTCTAGCGCTGCTTCAAGGGGTTCGTCAACGGCGCTGGCTCTGGCTGCAAAAACCGGTGCCCGCTTGGCGCTGTGCAGGCAATGCTGTCGTTTTCAGAAAGCATCATTGAGTCCATGGCGGCGTTTTGCTTTGGCCGAAAAATGGAAGCTCATCATCGCTGAACTGGACTGGAGGCCATCAGCCGGCCGCCGGGGTACCTGAGGGTCCCCTTGATACTTGATATTGTTGCGCACCACCACCCAGTGACTATACTGGTAGGTACGGTTCAAGACGTCTGGGACAGTGAATCATTGGCGGCGTCGGCGGCGGCTAAAAGAGGAGCATCGCGTTGCGCTGCGACGTTGACCGCGACGACTCGACTTCAGGCTAATGCTGCGACGGCGGTGCCTTGCAACGAACGCCTTGGGCCGCTGCAAGGGCAACGGAGCAATTGACGGGCAGCGCCAGAGCCGCATGCGTATCGCAATATATTGTGAGAAGAAAAGCTGCGGTTCACCGGGCGGCCATTGGCATGGAGAGTACATCTCGAGATGATCGTGGCCATTTGATGTGTGCGGTACGGATCACGAGGGGCGCATCACGAGGGGCACGACTTACACGGCTCGTTCCCACTCGGTGAAGACACAGCTGCGCACTCGGGGCCAAGACTTGGGAGCGATAGCGGAGAGCAGGGTTGTCACAAACATGGAGCAGACGTGTCCAGCCTTGAGGTGCAAGAAGAAAAGGCCACGGTAGGTGCAGGTAATTGGATCTCATGTGAGCCTCAACTGAGGGCCACGGCAAAGGGGAAGGAGAGATTGATGGCGATGACGGCACCTGCCGTCGTTCCTCCCAGATCGACGGTTGGCAAGCGCTGTTGGGCCCTTGCTGCTGCCGCCTGCCGTTAGGTAGAGAGCCAAGGCGCCAACAGCAGCCATCGCGGGGCAGTGAGCAAAGGTATCGCTCCCGCCCAAATTGTGTGTGAGGGTACCTCAGGGCATATATTTAGCGGTAGGTACGGCACACTCCCGAGTCCGAGACCGAGAGTCAATGATGACATCGGATCTCCCAGGCCGTCGCCCTTGGGGCCTCCCAAGGCGCGGCACGCCCGTCATAGACTCTGGCGGACCCCAAAATCACGGCGCATGCGGCATTAGCCAGAAGACTTCGTTTATAAGAAACGAGGAAGGCTTGGGTTCAACGGCCATGCTACAGTAAGACAAAAACAGCACTGTTACCGGCCGATTTGTGGTCAGGCCGCTGGCACATCATACAAAAACATCACCAGTAACCTCACATACATACTTGGCCAGGCAAAAGTCTGCGCGCGACCTCAAAACCATCTCAACAGACTTGATTGCGCAGACTGCCGTCGTCAGTCGCCATGGGCACCGCGCATGTGCTCGACGACTACTACCTGGGCATCACGGCCATCGTGACCGTGGGGTACCAGCTCTTCTTCTTCGCCATCGCCTACACCTTTAAATTCGACAAGCTCACGGGTAAGAAGAACAGACTGCCATGACCATGATCCCTTCAAGAAATGCCCCTCACGGATGAATGAATGACTGTATATGTGACTGAACTGAACTGAACCTGAACCTGACCGACTGCACGCAGACCTCGCCGGCGGCTCCAACTTCGCCGTCCTCGCCATCCTCACACTCGCGCTGTCGGGCCACCACCACGCGCGCCAGCTCGTCGCCTCCCTCTTTCTCATCGCCTGGGCGCTGCGCCTCTCGGGCTTCCTCTTCTTCCGCATCCTGCGCACGGGCTCCGACGACCGCTTCGACGACAAGCGCGACCGCTTCTTCCCCTTCCTCGGCTTCTGGGTCGCCCAGATGGTCTGGGTCTGGGCCGTCTCCCTGCCCGTCACCGTCCTCAACAGCCCCGCCGTCACCGCCTACCCCCAGCATGCCTTTGGCACGGGCCGCGACATCGCCGGCGTCGTGCTCTTCGCGGTGGGCTTCGTCATGGAGAGCGTCAGCGATGTGCAAAAGTATAGGTTCCGCCAGACGCACAATGGCTCGGACGTGTGCGACAAGGGCTTCTTCTTTGTCTCGCGCCATCCAAACTACTTTGGCGAGATACTCATCCAGTTTTGTATGCTCCCCTCTCCCTCCATCCTGCCCCAGGCTTCGCATTTCCTGCCGCTTACACAGGATTATCAGCCATCTACATGATTGCCGTATCCTCGGCGGCAGACGGTTACGTCGGCGGCCAGGCGTACAAGGCCCTCTACGCCACGATCCTGGGGCCCTTCTTGCTCACCATCCTCCTAATGTTCGTTTCCGGCCTGCCGCTTTCAGAACGCCCCAAGGCCAAGTCCCGCTACGAAAAGGGCACCAACTGGGAGGGCTACAAGCGCTGGCTCGACCGCACCAGCATCCTCATTCCCTTCCCGCCACAGCTGTACGAGAGGGTGCCCGTCTTCCTCAAGCGGACCATCTTCCTCGAATTCCCCATGTACGTCTTCGACCCGGCGAAGCACTCCGACGTGAAGCACCCCGGGGGCGCCAACGAAGATACGCACGATTCGCATGACCAGGCGACGAGGAGGAACAGGCAGAGCGGCGAGGAGAGACTTGTCTAGCGATTTAGCGACCGATATCGGATATGTAACAAATAGATGTTGTTTCCCTTCCAGACACCCCAAGTAGCCATTGGTATATGTGGAGGAAATTTATGTATGCCGCGTGCAACAAAGCAGAAAATAGAATGCGCCGTCCCTGTTGTCCCAAGTTGAGTCGTTGCCCCTTTTGCAAGTACACCATCACATGCGTTTTCTTGTCGCCACCATGTTGAATAACCAACACCCCAGTCCGATAGAGCCGAACCACACACGAGCATGCAAATAAAGAAAAACAAGGAAATAAACAGCGTGGCCGGCGGTGGTTGACTCCATATTATGCCGGCCACACCCACGATGTTCGTCTCGTCGTCGTCACATTACCGGCATCAGTGCATGCCGGCGCATCACGCCTCACCTGAGGCTCAGCAGCCGCCGCTTCCCATGAGCGCGCCAGGTGAATCGGGCACATCATCCGGCTGATCTAGTACTTCTTGCGAGGGGCCGTAATCGGTGCTGCTGCCACTGGTCTCGGAGTGCGTCTCGGAGCCCTCCGGGATGGGCACCATGGCGCTCTTGGTCCAGAGGTGGATGGCCTTTTTCCAATCGAGACCCTCAATGCAGCCGCCCTTGACGGAGACGACGTTCTTGGCCTGCAAATAAAACAAATTGAGTCAGCGATTGGCGTCGGGCCGAAAGCCACAGGAAGGGTATAGTAGGTAACAGGGAGGAGGGCGCACCGGTGTTGTGTGAAAGAGGCGGGTCCCGCAGTTGCGACAGAAGTAACTACGCGTGTTAGCACGCTGTGCTCCCACGTTTCGAATGGGTATGTCATAGGCCTTACCAATACAGCGTTTGTCCGGACGGGGTCGGTCGACTGCGATTGCGGGTTTGGGAATGGTCAGCAGATCCGAAGCCGACTTGCGAAAGCCGAAGGGCAAGTCGAAGCCGAAGGGAGAGGTGTCAAGCCGAAGCCGACCAAGCCGGCCTCGGTTTGGCCTCGAGGTGGCAGGGCAGCGCCGCTCTCGCCGCAGCCGCAGCAGCCGCCATCGGAGGAGCAGTGTGCAGCAGTATGCTGGCACGCGAAGCGGCGGGGAGAGAGAAAAGATGTGATAGAAAACTGACTCACGCGTAGCAGCTCAGCAGATCGCTATCGGGCAGCTTGAACCGCGGGAAGATGGCCGACGTGCCGAAGGCGGAGCTGGTCTGGCGACGGCACTCGGCGCAATGGCAGATGTAGAGAGCGAGAGGCTCGGGCAGGGGCGTCTTGAAGGCGACGGAGCCGCACTGGCATCGCGCGTCCATGGCGGGCGAAGGTTTTGGAGTGGGATTGAGGGAGGGGTCGAGGTTGTCGCAAGGCGGGCTGTCGATGCGGTCGCGGGGGAGAGATCGCTGATGCGTTACAGAGCTGAGAGCTTGTGAAGTTGGCGGCGACGGCGGCGGCGGCGGCGGCGATTGTTCAGACTGGGCGCGAGGGTGCAAGTAACGAGATGCAATTGAACCAGGTCCGAATAGGCCAGTCCAATTGCAACGCAGCAGCTCGTCTCGTTAGACAAGTGTGATTCTGTGCCTTGGGTGCAAAGAATAAAACAAAGATCAAGTTTTGGAACAAGTCAGAGTTTCGGAGCTCTCCCCAGTTCAATTCAAGGTCGAGTCGAGACTCAGCCGCAACGTGCCCGTGTGCGCCTGCCGTATTAGACAAGCAAGCCAAGCCAAGGCACATTATAGGTTGGGGCTCGTCTTACAACCAAATAACTTCAGTACCTTTGCCGTTTGGATACGTACTTACGAGTACGTAGATACGTAGCAGAAGGCGGATAAAACCGAACGAGCTAGAGCGCTTTGATTTGTGACGCAGCCCTTTTTTTTCGGTGAAATATTAGCACGCAGATACGGTCACGCATTCACGTCGAAATTTACTGGCAGCCACATGCAGTGAGGCGCATCCGTCCCATCCATGCTTGCATGCACGCCCGCATGCTGCTGCATGGAGGCGAGGCCCGCGTGCCATGCCATGCCAGACCGGACCGGACCCAGGATCGTCCCAAGAAAGCCGTACTCGGCCAGGCCTGTCTCGGACAAAACCCCATTACTATTCAACTCGACCAAATCCGACGAAGCTCGCGGACCGACCCCTCCACCCCTCCACTCCTCCGCCGTTGACGCAACGCCCCCGTCTGCGCCGCGAGCCGCGGCCATCGACTGCCGCGCAGGGCTGGCTAGGCTGGCTTCTGCTCATGGACTGCATTCATCCGACGCTGACCGCAGGTGCCCAGCCAGCCCTCCTCCAGGGACCAAACAGCAGCATCCTCGGGGTCCGTCTTCCTCCCTCCCTGCCCGTCCACGTGCCACGGCCCGGCAAACCAGGAAATCGATACGAAACGCGCTCGCTCCTCCGATCCCGGGGGCCGCAGTTCGGGGGGGAGAGACCGAGACGGAGCGTCACGAGAGGGAATGAGTCTTTGTTGCCGCTGCGAGCTTCGGCCTGCCTTGCGCTTCCTTCCGTACGGTACAGTACCGTAACTGTGCCGAGGACTGTATGAGACGCCAGGAAACGTGACGTGACTCATACGGGGCGAACGTTGCGCGTAGTCACATGAGACCAGCGCCAGCTCGCAGCTCCTCCAAGCTCCAGAAATCCCCCCACATTGTCAAGCTGCGCAGTGCGGGCGGCTGCTGAAGCCCACTCACCCACCCACCATCCATCCATCCATCTTGTCCCTTTCCCCCCCAAGCCCCCTTCGGTGCTCCTGACCACTCGGCCACACCCAATGTCACCACCGACGGGCCGGGTCATCATCCTCCACAGTCCAGATAGTCACATACGTTCTCGTAGACGCAGTAACTGCGCCTCGGGCTGAAGCACAGGACAAGGCTCGTGGATTCAGATAAAGCACTCGCGCGTACGAGCCAATCTTTGTTATCTTGACCGCAAGAACGCCTCTTCAGCTCGAGGATGCTTGTCCAGCTGCCCGCCCCCAAAGGCGTGTTTCCAGGGCTCAAGACTGCGTGGCCCCCCTGCTCCTGTCCCCAGGCTTTGGTCAAATCCAGAACAAAGACCTTACGTCTTCCCATGACGTGATGCGCGCATTCGTTACACAAATTCGCCCTGCTCCCGTTCGCGTCCAGAGCGTGCTCGTGCTCGTACTCGTACAGATCCGTATTCAACCACTTACACCGAAAATGTCGGGCGCATCATCATCACCGAGACGCATGTCCCGCGACACCGCTCGTTGTGCAAACCACCACGGCGCTCGAGCCTCCTAGCTTCAACCTCCGCTCCAGCGCAACGCAAAACTCGAGCTTCGTCCGTGTGCTCCACGCTGGCACCGCCAGCTCGACCTCCAGCCTCTCCAAGTCTCCCATACTCGCGAGCGCCCCCTTCTCTGCCCAGTTCTCCGCCACGCGCCGAACCGGCTCCCAGTCTGACTCTGACCTCTCGGCTCCCCCGTCCGCGTCCTGCTTCTCGCTGGTCTCTGTCGACAAGACGTCGTCCAGCGCACCGCCCGCAGGGCCAGCGATCCTGACCCTGAGCCCGCGGAGCCCGGCCCACGCCTCGCTCAGCGCCGTCCACGTCCGCAGCGCCACCTCGTCCTGCAGCTCGTGGCCCAGCATCTCGATCCGCGCGTACCGCATCGCCCGCCGCTGCCACGGACGCAGGAGGCCCGTCACCGTCGCGTGCCCCGTGACCAGCCCCGACGCGAACCACGTCACGAAGACGAACTCGTTTTCTTCAAAGGGCATGAGGCGAGCCTCGACGTAGACTTGGCGGCAGCTCCGCAGGAGGCTCGTTGGCATGCCACACAAGGGCCGGTCTGGGCAGAGGAGCCTCGGCGGCCGTCGTCCACGGACCGTTTCGTCGTCATCGTTGACGTCCTCGTCCTCCGCCAAACACCTGAGCTCGCATCGGCGAATCTCAGGTGCTGGATATGCTGGGTCAGGCGATCCGTTGCGCACCGGGGTCATGAGCAAGACCCAACCGTATATCTGCCGCCGAAGCTCTGGCGGCAGGGAAAGCAGGGGCGATCGGTCGTTTGCAGTCCGCTTGTGATACGACCAGGAGACAATGCGACCGTCGTCTCCACGCAGTCTTGTGACTGGTAATGCATCGTCCTTCGGCCTGCCCTGGATGCCTTTTGCTGCGCATAACGAGGATTCGAGGTCGCACCACGACCCCGCGGTCTGCAGAACAGCGCAGGTATCCATTGCGACACTGTTCCATGTGTCCTCGGGATGATTGCCAGAGGCTGTGAATCCGTTCCTTCGCTCCTCTCATATGACGTGCCGCCTTCCTGATGCCTCAGGTCATCACGGGGTCGGGCGCAACGCTGAGCGCCACCATCAGCCATCCAGACCCAATCGGGCCAGCATCTCACCGCGCATCGTCAGCGCTAACGACGACGTTTGGAATTCCATCGTGGCAAGGAACCAGACAGAGTGAAAAGTCCATCGCTTCATTGCAGCTAGTATCTGGTAGTGGATACAGTCTCGTAGGGCTGAGGACAGCCACGCCCAGAAAGCTGACAGTCATGGCCACAGCTTCCACAATGCACTGCAGAACCCTCCCAGTTCGACGTTGATCGGCGGTCCGCCGCTGTGAAAGTTATCCCTTGAAAACCGCTCGTGACAGCAAATCCATAAGTTATAGATACTAATCCACGCTGTCAACTGGTTTCGCCATGGCTAGCGTTGTTAAGTTTCGGGTGTAGGCACGCGTTGTCCGTGTTGATCATGATCCGCCTGAGCCGTCGCTTTGACCGGCGACTGTGAAATAAGGGCATCTCGGGGTGTACCAGGCAGTTCAGGCTCGGCGTCGGAGCATTCATCCGATTCCATCCTCGCTTCTGGGGCCCGGAGTGTGCACTACATGCCCACTGGTATCGCCTTGGCCGTCGCTTTGACAGGCGAATGGGATATGAGGGCATCTTGAGGAATACCAGACAGTTCAGGCTCGGCATCGGAGCATTCGTCTGGTTCCATCCTCGCTTCGGGGGCCCGGGGTCCGCGCTACGTGCCCGGTGGTGTCGGCTTGTCGTCTCGCGACTTGTTTTCCGAGGCAGAGCGGCGTGATCTAGGCGGTGGCGGGGCTTCGGATTCAGAGTATTCATCCTCTTCCACCTCCGCCACTGAAACTCGGGTTGTTCTCTGCGCGCTATCTCGCACTTTGTCGTTTGAGCTCGAGATCGGCCGGGGCAGCGTCGATCCAGCTGCCTATGCCGAACCGGCGCCTACCGTCGAACCTGGCGGGATGTTGACGCCCTGCAACCCTCTGTAAATGTCCCCCTTTCTGCCGTATTCGATGTTGGGCGGGAGGTCAAAGTCGCCCCTGTTCATGAACCACAGTATGGTTTCGGGTTCGGGGCCTCGGGGTGGCTGATTCTTCGCCTTGGCGGCATCGTCCTCGCCGTCCTGGTCCATCATGTCGTCGCCTTCCCCCTCGGCTTCGTCGCCCTCGTCGTCGCTTTCATCATCGTCCAGTCCCCGGCGTAAGCCAGTGCGCACGTTCTCGACGCCCATCTCCCGCTCCTCCTTGGTGTAGACGTCGCCAGCCTCGTCGCGAACATACTCGGCGATGCGGCCGTGCGTCCACTCGCGCAGCTCATCCCATATGCCCTGCAGGTCGGCGATGCCCTCGGGGGTGGCAAGCCGGGCCGTCTCGGCGCCCTGGGCCACGAGCTCCTCCACGTCAGGCTCGAGTTTCTTACGCAGCAGCTGCGTCAGGATGTTTTCTTGCGTCCGCCCGGGATAATTTGTCGACGGATGGATGGCCATGCGCGAGAATAGCTCCGAGTTCTCGCTCAGGCTGTCCAGCACGCTCTGCAGGTTGCGCTGGAGGATCTGGGCCGAGGCCTGGAGGGAGGAGCTGCGTCGTCGGTTAGCTGGCGGGATTCCCATCCGTGATCATGACGCTGCCGCGACTGGGGTGCGCACGTAGGAGGCAGCGGGTTGCTCTTCAGAATGTCCATCTTCAAGCTCTGAATGCTGCTCGAGAGTTGCGACACCCGCGAGAGCATGTGCTCGAGAACCTTGAGCTCGTCCTCGTCGAGCCCCAAGGTGGCCATCTTGCGTGGGTCTTGCCGCCTTTGCTCGCTGGATTTGTTGTGGTATGGGTGTTTGAATAGCCGGAGCAGAAAAGACTTGCCCTCGGCTAGGCAAGGCTGTGCGGTCGCTGCAATGGCCAATTGGTGTTGTGTGGAGTACGAAGCAGCGTTGGTGTGTTGTGAGTGAGGTCGAGGAAAGTTGGGGGTTCAAGAAGGTCGAACGAGACGACGAGCGTGAGTAGGAGGCAGGAAGCTCCAGGGCTGTCCAGGTGCAGAGGGCAGAGGCCCACGGGTGACGCGACGCGGGGCAGGGGCACCTGGCACCTGAGGCTGTTGCCAGAGGCGGTTCTGAGGCGCGCCGCTGGGCGCTCACACAGCGGGCAGGCTCTCACTGGACGCTGGTGCGCTGAGTGCCTGCTGCGATCCACCGGCCACTGCAGCGCTCATCCTTCCAAATCACGACTTACACTCGACTCCTGTCGTCAATCCTACGAGTCGCGCCGACAACCACCTCACAATTCACCATAGCAGTGGATTGAGAAATACGAATTAGGCATTCTGAGCATGTCAAAAAAGAAAACTCCTCGCCCAATGCTATGCTAGATTCACGTAAAAGCCGTTCATGCAGGGAACCGGTGCTCATGCTCTAGTCGCAAGCATTGGGTATCGATCAATCCTCGTCCTCATCGTCGCCTCCTTTCTGTCCCCGCAAATGCCGCCGCGGCCCGGACACCCGGCCCATGGCTGACTGTCTCGAGCGCCAGTCCTGCTCGCTTGTTTGCCTGCTCGCTCGCTCGTTTACCTCGGGAGCCTGTCGTTCAGTTGCGGGTCGAGCTGACCGTCTTGCTCACCACGTAGCCCTGGCTGTCCACAAACGGGAAGCGGGCGCGGCGCTCGAGGTCGTCGAGCGGAATCGTCGAGCGGATGTACCTGCGCCGTCACGCGTTAGTCGACCCATGTCCAGTCTCTCGGGGACAACGAAGGGGAGGCAGGCATACTTCATGCGGCCGTCGTCGACGGGGTCAAAGTCCCAGCTCGTAAACGCGCCCTCCTTGAGCGCGTCCCAAACCACGCGCCGGCTGCGCTGCGACTGCAGCACCTGCGCCGTGATGGCGTCAAAGTCCCATTTGGCCTTGGCCTCGGCGTCGTACTGCTCGAACACGGCCTTGGCCTCCTCCTCGTCGGGCGTCTGCGGCTCCCGCTTGGCCAGCACCGCCGCCAGGTTGTTGAGCTCATGCGGGTCCCGCTCCAGGTTGAAGAACTGCGGCTCGTCGGCCGGGCAGGTGATGTACTTCCAGGGGCCGCGGCGGATCATCATCATGGGCCGCACCGTGCCCTCGCCCGTGTACTCGGCGAACACCGTGTCCGGGCCCTGCTTCTCGTCGAGCAGGTGGGGCAGCATGCTGACGCCGTCCATGGGCAGGTACGGCGCCGGCTTGGTGCCGATAAGGTCGCAAATGGTCGGCAAGAGGTCCAGCGTCGACACGTTCTTGGACACGCGGTGCGCGTCGAACCACTTCGGGTAGTTGACCAGCAGCGGCACCCGCACCGACGACTCGAAGTAGCTCATCTTGTACCAGAGCCCGCGCTCGCCCAGCATGTCGCCGTGGTCGCCGCTGAAGATGACAATGGTGTTGTCCGCGAGGCCCGCCTCGTCGAGCGTCTCGAGCAGCTTGCCGATGCAGTCGTCGACGTAGCTGACGGAGCCGTAGTACGCCCGCTTGGCCCTCTTGATCTGGTCGTCGGTAAAGTCCTGGTCCCAGAGGTCGCACACGCGCATCAGGCGCTGGCTGTGCGTGTCGAGCTTCTCCTTGGGGATCCGCACCTTGGGCAGCGCGATGTCGACATCCTCGTACCGGTTCCAGTACTTCTTGGTGATGGTGTACGGATCATGGGGGTGAGTGAGAGACACCTACAAGAAACAGGTGATGCTGTCAGCAAGCTTTGGAAGATTCTGATGATAACGGGCGCGGGCTCAGTCAGGCGGCCGCCGCAGCGCCTCTCCAGCTCCCGTCCTCCTACGTCGTCTTTTTCAACTTACCGTCAGGGCAAACGGGCGCTTGTTGGGGCCCTCGCGGACGTGGTCCCACAGGTACTGGGTGCTCCGGTACATGACCTCCTCATCGTAGTCGAGCTGGTTGCTGCGTCCGCAGGGGCCTGCCTGGAGGATGGAGCTGGCGTTGTGGTACCACTCGAGGCGGGTGTCGGGCTCGTCCCAGTTGACGGCCCAGCCAAAGTCGCCAGGATAGATGTCGCTCGTCAGACGCTGCTCGTAGCCGTGGAGCTGATCGCCCACAAAATGCATCTTTCCGGCGAGGGCCGTGTGGTAGCCCTTGGAGCGCAGGTAGTGGGCGTACGTGGGGATCTCCGAGTTGATCTGGGAGGCGTTGTCGTAGGCTCCGATCTTCATGGGCAGCAGGCCGGTGATCATGCTCATGCGCGACGGGGCGCAGAGGGGAGACGGGCAGTAGGCCGAGTCGAACTGGACCGAGCCGGCGGCGAGGCGGTCGAGGTTGGGCGTCTTGATCTGCGACTCTGGGTTGTACATCTTGAGCTGGGGGGCCGCCAGCTGGTCGGCCATGATGTAGAGGATGTTGGGCCTTGAACCATCTGGTCCCTTGGTCGTGGGGACCACGGAGGGCGGCATGGTGTTGATGTCTGGAGCCATGGCGGCGGCGTTTGGTAGCCGTTTGCAGGGTCGAGAGTTGGTGAGTGATGCGGCCGGGCTAGATTAGCTTTCGTTTTCCCTTCTCTCTACTCTCTTGCTCTTCAGCCGTCGTCTTCGCTGTCGCCGTTGCTGGAGGCCTGTGGCGGAGATCGAGGCGTCAGGAGTCCGGGCGGTTGGTGTAGATGGTAAATGAATCGTTGAACAACGTCAGGCAGGACTGCCGCACAAGACAAGGAACGAGTCTCAGATAAGGGTAGGTAGAGCTACTACGTTCCCTCCCGAACGATCCGTCCCGTATTTGTTTGTTTCTTCTTTCTTCCTCCCCAGTGAGAATGGCAACGCAACAGTAAGTAGGCAACCCAGGCAGAGCGAGGATGAGATGAAACAACAGCGAGGTGGTGTGAAGAGAGACAGGCAGACGACCGTCCCACTTCCCAACGCAGAGACAGATAGATAGATACAAGAGGGGGAAGCCAGCCTTTTTGAACGAGGGATTCACCGACTGCTGCGGGACAGCAACAGGGCCAGCTATGGGTGCGTGCGGGAATGCCAGAGAATTTATGGTTTTCGCGCTCCCGCCACGCACGCAGCCTGCTCCGTATTATTCAAGCAGGCAGCTCGCGACCCCCAGCTTGGGCCAAGGGGTCGGCCGGGCCCCCGTGGAGGGGGAGGGGCGGCTGTCATTGTGGGCTTGCGACTAGTCCGTTGCGGACTTGCAATAAAGTGCGACGACGCTCCCTCGAGACTGTGAATATTCACCATGGTGCATAAGTCGGAGCAGGTATGCAAGTTCAACGGGCTGCTCCTCCAGTCAACGACCCGACCGACACCCGCCTGGCCAGCTTGCCCGCTGCCCGCCCATGCTTGCTGCGGCGCCGAGCGGGCTCGTCGTCACCTGTTTGTTACGTGTGCGACACCGAGTGTTGATCAAAGGGCGAGGATCTTCATGCACCTGTTGTCTTTCTGTTCCCTGGACGGGACAGGAGGCCGGACTGCCACACCTCTTATCGGTTGGTGCGTTCGCCGTCTTGTCGGCGCAGGGAGCTGACTCGCCCCGTTGTGTGACTGCCCAGCCAGGCACAGTTATGTGTCACCTCAGGCGCACGTCGTTGCGTCGGCAAGTCGTGCGTGCGTCGAGATTGTGTGTCCCTCGCATCGCACCCAGAGGGTGGTCACATGGCTCCGGCAGCGAGCGTCGAAATCGGCGGTGTGAGGGCCTTGCGGCTCTTGGCAGGCCTGTCCGTCTTGTGCTGTTGTGCGTCGGTGTTCTGGGCCGGTCAGCCACCGTCCGAGTGGAACTGCCTCAACTGCTTCATCTGGCTTTCGGGGCTGTCTGGTTGGCCCGTGTGGTGCAGGCGCAGTGCGGGCGGCCACCAGTTCGTGATGACGACGACGATACGACGACCAACGGAGATGCTGCTGCTTGCTGCCTTGCCGGTTCCATCGGCTCCCTCCATCCAGCAGCTCTCTTGCAATAACACGACGGCGGCGTTCGCGCGGAGGTGTCGGGCCCAGGCTGGCCGGCGCTTCATACCCGTTTGTCGGCTGGCCCACGTGAGCAGCGTCAGCCGTCCCGGACGTCGGATTTAGCTTGTACGCCCGTGCTGCCGTGCGACTGTGCTGCGCCGGACGACGTGGCTTCGGGAGTCGCAGCCTAGAAAGTCAAAAAGCGAATGAGAGGCTGTCGAGGCCTCGAACTGCCGCCCGTGCCATGACCCGCCGCGGCCGCGTCGCCCCCCCGGGGGAGGCAGCCCTCCATGAGCCAAGCCAAGGCATTGGTGATGGCGAGTGGCTTTGGGCTGCGGCTGCGGCCACTTTCCAAACTGAGACTCGGGACGAAGGGTTGGGCTGGATCTGATACAGGCATACAGACCACTTGGGCAGCGTCTGGAATGCAAGCCTGGTTTTGCAACTTTTGGATACCCCAGTTTGGTGCATAACACTGGCTAAATGCGCAGCTGCACAGTGTCAGTGGTGGCCTTATTCGCACATGAGTCCGACCCAGTCCGTTCGTGGTCGCAGTGGCGGGACATGGAAAGGAAAGCGCAGCAGGAGCAGGGACGACCGACCCTCTGCACTCAGTCTCCGTATTCGTAAGCTGCTGTGAGCAGCAGGTGCACTGCACCTCCTGTCACCCTGCTCTTTCCACCCGACAATAGAGTGTATTCTGGCCATCCTTGAGCAAGGCAAGTACGAGCACGAGCAGATTCTAAACGTGCCGAGCCCAATGACCTCTCTTCTCCTCCTCCTCCTCCTCCTCCTCCTCCTCTCCTTCTTCGTCCTCCTCTTCCTCCTCCTGCAAATCCATGCTGCGTTCGTCCATGCATAAACAAAACGCACTGTCGCGCGTGTCCTGCTTGTCCACTTTCGGACACTGCGCTGCAATCGCTCTTGATTACACAAGCCCGCCCGCGCGACGGCTCCAGTTTTGGCTGCTGACCTCCACTGACTTATAACCTTGCCCAGGCTAATCCTCCGTCCCCGTCGCCTCCGTGCGCCCAACAGACTTCTGACAGGCGATGGCGCAATCGATCCTTCTTCGCCTTCGCGCGTCCAGCGCTCGCTCGTTCCCCACGTCGAAGACCGCCCGGTTTTTTCGATGAGACACCACTTCAGTCTGAAATGTCGACATTGATTCTCTCGATGACACCATTCGTGCTCTGACGCTCGCTCGATCGATCGCCGCACCAGCGGCTGCTGCCTTATGGCACGGCGTGCATGTTTGCATTTCGGACACGCCGTGGGAAGGGAGGTCAGACGTGGACGGGCGAGAAGAGAGGTTGCAGCTCGGCCAAGGCAAGGCCGCCGACAAACCCTCGACGGACCACAGCATGAGCCAAGAATGGCCGCCCCATCCGCGACCCCCGTGGACACCATCAAAACCATTAATCGCCCCCTGCTGACCCAGCCGTCTAGCCTTCGCGCTCTGCTGCGGAATACTTGACTGGATGCGCTGTCGTCAAATTTCCGGACTGGCGCATGTCGAAACGGATACAGTACATACTGTATCCAGCCACCACGGCGAACCACTTGCAATTATACCCTTGCGCGCGCCCGCCGTCGAGATGGGGGGACCCCTGGGACATGGCCCCCCGGTTTCCCACCTTTGCATTCGGTCCACTCGGAACGTCTTGCGCCCGCCACCGACTTCCTCGAGGCATCCTGCTCGCGTGCTGCCCCCGACACGCCGTCTTTGTGCTGTCCGACTGCCGTAATTTACGTAAAGCCGGACGGTCGCCGACGGGGACCCTCGAGATAAGAGGCCGTCCGCAGGTGCTCGCCCATGCAAGCGCTCGTGTTTCATTGCCAAGGACCAACGCGCAGCACTTGGTGCAGTCAGTCCGTACCACACGACGAGGCGACGCAGGTCTTGTCACAACAACATGCCCATTGTGCGCCATTGGTCAATCAAGCCACCTTCGGCCCATTTCTTTTCACTAGTATTTCCAACGTGCAACAGAGCATGCTTGTTTGCACTTCCCGCTTCCATAGATACATACAGTCCGTCCGTCATGCAGTCCGTGCTTGGTTCTCCGTCATTGCTCCCGTCCAGCAGCCCCGTTCTTGGAAAATGTAAACGAAAGACAAGGCCATGCATGCAAACTCCCAAGCTTATGCCCACCACCTTGGTCGCTGCCAAACTCCAGCAAAAACCCCATCCCCCCACCCAGTGACAGCAATCTCCCTTCTATAGTTCCTTCGTACGTTGCAGGCGCCGGTGCCAACGAGCGGGGGTATCCAGAGGAGTCGGAAACAGGACAGTTAGGAAAAACGAGATGGTCATCACTGCGTCCGGTAGAACTTCTTGTACACGAGGTGCAGCAGCAAGTTCACGTTGAGCTTGAGGTTGCCCTCAAACAGGTTCATGAACTGGTGCGACTCGAACTGCGCCTGCAGCAGGTCCTCGATGGGCACCAGCGCGCTCGCCCCGGGCATCTGGATGTGGCCCCGGGAGCCCTCGATGGCGAAGACGCCCACCTCGTCGCACGATATCGTCAGGTTGATCTTGTCCCAGTCGCGGTCGCTGAGCCCGTTCCAAGACACGAGGACGCCCTTCTCCGAGAGCGCTCGCGCGCTGTACTTGTAGCTCCCGAACTTGGGGACGCGGCCGCTCCGTTCCAGCTCGCGCTGGTGGTTGTACTGCTTGGTGAATGGCAGCAGGAACCTCTTCTTTCTGTACGCGCAAGTCTTGGTTAGCATCGCCTCGCGCGCCGTCGCTCTCAGGACAATGCGCGGCTTCTTACCCTTTCTTGTTCTGCAGCGTCGCCATGGCTTGCTCTATGTAGTCGTCGTAGCTTTTCCGCTGCTGCTCAAGGTACTTGGCCTTTTCGTGCAGGTTCCCCAGTGTGAGGCGCACTCCGTCCAGCTCCCGCTGCCTCTGTACGCGCCTGCGGCTCTTGGAGCGGATGTCGCTGGCAATGGCGTTGAGGACGTCCTGGTAAAAGTTGTGCTTCGAGATGCGGCCCATCTGCTCCAGTCTCATCACGTTCTCCAGCGCGGTACGCTTGAGCTCGTAGTAAGTCATCCGGGTCAGGTCCACCATCTTGTTGGCGTCCGAGTAGGCTCCTCGCGAGTTGCTGCCATCCGAAAAGTCCTCTCGGATTATTGACTCCCATTTCGCCTCGTCCTCGGGCGAGATGGGTTTCACCAGGATCTCGAGGAGATTCGCGCCGGTTTGCACCCGGATGATATACAGGACACAGCGCTTCGTCTCCATGAAAAGCGCCTTGACCTCCGCTTCCGGGTCCTCGACGTCGTGGAGCTTGGGCGTGAGGAACATGTGAATGTCCGACGTGCCAGCCGCGTTCATCTCGTTCTCGTTGTTCTTGGCGCTGCCCAAGTCCTGCATGATCTCTCGGAGGACATCATCACGGTTCGGGCACATGGCCGGCAGCTCCGCCGCGACAAGGTTGTGGATGGCGAAAACGTCCGTCATCTTGATGTACAGTGTCGGCTTGTTCTTGGCATAGAGGTCGTTGAACTCGTCGATGTCAAACGTTTGCTCGGCATCTGGTACCGAGATGAGCTCGCCGGTGAGGTGTCGCAGGCGCTCGACAGACTCGGCCACAAACGCGTTCAGCGGCTGCAGGTAGATGTTCTCACCACCAAACGGTCGGCCGGATGCTATTTGGCCAATCACCTTGGCCACTTCGCTAAGGTTTCTCTTCTGCAGCGGGCTCAGCGACTTTTCAATCACGCCCACCTGCTCAGGTGTTGTCACAGCCGGCTGAAGGTAGAACTTCCAGAGCCAGTTTGACACAATCTGCAGCAGGTTCTCCTGCGGCTCGCGAGTAAACTGTTGGCAAAGAGACTCGAACATCTGGCCGCAGAGAAACCGTATGCCGTAAGGCATCTTATGCAGTTGGTCCTCCAAGGCCAGGAAGAACTGGTCGCAAATTTCGCGCAGGTCTCTCAGATGGTCGATGAAGAGGCGTCGCGTCTCAGGGTCGCGGATGGCAACTTCACGAGGGACGTCGAGCGGTCGTTGATCTGGGCGGCCGGTGCGCAACTCCTCGTTATTAATAGCTGACCGGTAAATTTGCATGGGGTCGCTTTCGAGATCAAGGGCCGGGTCTTCGATGATGTTATCGCGGATTAGGGGGCCAAGGAGGCTTCGCAAGTATTTGCGGTCCCTGGGTGAGCGTGTGTAGTTGCCGAGGAGCTTCGCCCAGAAATAGTTGCCGCGAATATACTCTTGAAGGACCATGGCGCCTTCGATCTCCTCGCGAATAGACCTCGCGATGAGCTTGAGCAGATAGTACTCTTCTCGTCGCTTTTGCGCATAGCCAAAGAGACTCATCATAAGAAGTTCGATTCTCTTGCACTCCTTCTCCGCGGTGCCTTGCTCGCGGACGCGCTTGAATAGTCGTGCGAGATACTGTGGCTGTGTTTGCAGGCTAAAGAAGAGCTGCTGGTAGGATTCGAGCTTCTTTCTCGAGCTCTTGTTGAGTGCCTTGAGGTCGAACTGGTTCGCCGACGACATGCTCGAGTTGGCAAGCATACCCATGGAGTTGCCCCCGTAGTTATGCTGATGTCGTACAACCTCGTCGAGGGTAATCTTGTTCTTGACCAAGAGAGCAATCTTGATGTCCAGCTGATCGATATACTGCTCCAGCATCTCGTTCTGGCGCACTTGCTGTACCACCGTCTTCCGCATCCGCTCAAACTCTACCTCCTCGTTGAAGTCGAAGTCGCTGTCGTTGAGCAGATGCACAAAGTTCTTGACGGCATTGACGGGTGGGTTTTTGCCCGTGGTGAGACTCTTGTAGGCTTCACCTTGCACCTTGGCCCGGACAAAACTCTGGATCTTAATCACCTTCTTCATGTTCTCGTTGAAGTACTGCTTCTTTTCCTCGTATCGGGCGCGGACGAGGAAGGCCTTGGCTGCGGCTTGAATGGCGATAATGGAGCCTTCTTCTTCCATGAGCTCAGTCAGGATGTCGTCGACGTTGGCGCGAACCATCATTGCCTTGAGGATAGCCTGGAACGCGGCAATGTGTTCGTTGTGGGAGTTGAGTTCCTCGAGTAGCGCCGCGTGCTGCTTGCGATGGATGAAGCCACGGATGAAACCCTGCAGGCTGACAACTTGGGGCTCATGTCTGGCGAGCTGCCGCTGCAATGCCTGCACTTGCTTCCTCTCCAGCATACCCCTAATGTGGGACTGGACCGCGAGGACCTCGTCCTTGCTTCCGTCCAGCGCTTCGAGCTGGTCGGCCACATTGCTACGTACAGCGGCCGCCCGAATCGCTGCCTGGAGCCGAGCAACCTCCGGAGCAGTCTGCTTCAGCTCAGCCTGAAGGACCTGGTGGCTCTCTCTCGCGGCAATTCCGCGAATGATGCCTTGGAGCTTCGTCCATTGCGGGCCGTACGCGCGGAGAGCGTCCTGCTCGCGCCCGATCTGAGTTCTGGTCAGCAAGGCCCGGGCAGCGGCCTGTAAGCCAGCGATTGCACCGCTTTCGCCTTCCAACAGATGCAGGTCTTGATCGATGTGAGCCCGGACCAGCATTCCCCGAGCAAGAGCCTGGAGTTTCTGGACTGATCCAGTGGCCTCCTTGGACTCTTGCTGCTGGGCATGGCGGTTCTTGCGGACCAGGAACCCGCGGGAGACAGCTTGAATCTCTCGGACGGGACCCTTGCACGCCGACAGCATGGACTTCAAGTCGCGTACCTCGTGCCGAGCCTTGTTTGCTCGGATCAGGCTTTGCAGCTCCAGGATATCTGGCTCGACAGCCTTCCAGAATTTGTCGCTTTTTCGCTGCTGCCGTCGGACCAAGAACCCTCGGGCCGCGCTTTGCACGAGTATAGCAGATTGTCGCATCCGGAGTCGATAGCCCATGATTTGACGCGTGAAGTCGCCGCGAATACGAGCTTGAAGGTCGACCAGCCACTCCTCGCTGTCCCACAGCTGCTGCATCGTGTCTCCGAGGCGTACCCGTAGCAGCGCACCACGGATCTGCGCCTGCATGTCGACGATGGCAGCCTCGTTCTCGGCGAGCTCTCGGTCGATGCGCTCTTCCTCCGTCTCCTCCGGCTCGGGCTCCGGCTCGGGTACGCCAAAGTCCGCGCCCATGTTACCAAAGCTAGGCATGTTGACCCCCAGCTTATCCAAGCCTTTTTGCATCGCCTCCAGTTCATGGTGCTCGAACTCCAGCTGGCCCACGAGGTTGCCTATGCGAAAGTCGACAATGCCCTTGCGGTATAGCAGCCAACTCACTGCGTGGATACAGTATATGACTTTGGGGATATTCTTCTTTTCGTACAGGTCGATGAGCTCGAACCGGAAGAGATCGGGCAGCTCTACCTCGTCGAGGTATCGAAAGAATATGGCGATATTGTCTGAGTGGCGATACTGGAGCTTCGGATGGTGAAATATTCGGAAACGTTTATCGGGGTTGAGCGCCTCGACGACCTCTGCAAGCGTCACACCGTCGCGTAGGGCTTCTTCCAGTTCGACAATGGGGGGTAATGATTTGTGCGTGACGTCCTCTATCCACTCCTTGGCCTCGCCGATATGACAGAGGTACTCGTACGCTTGGAGAAATTGGCGCTGCTTATCCATCCAGTTCCTGCCTTCCCAGCCGTAGCCGGCTGCTTTGGAGCCCCGCGTGTTGTCGGGCTTGTCTGCGCGCTGGAGGCGACGCCGGCCACGGAGGCCGACGACTTCCTGCGCGGGCGAGGTGATGGCGAAATCATCGGCGGATTCGGAATGCGCAAGGCGTGACAGCGTGCGCAACTGGCTGGTGGAAGAGCGGCCGAGCAGCTCGAGATCGGGGCGGCCGATGTGAGCCGTGTGCACTTGCTGCACGGAGTTATTGTGAGGCACGCCGGCGCTGCCCCCCATAACAGAATCCGACCGGGTCAGCAGCATGGAGTTTGGACGCATGGGCAGGGGGCGCGACGACGGTGACGTTGGCGAGGAAGCGCCGTCGGTCTGTGCCAGCGACAGCTTGCCAACGTCAAAGCTCTTGCCGCGCTCATGCCTTATTTGGGCGGCATGGGGCGGCGTGACAGGCGGCCGGGCAGAGGCAGCTGGGGCCTGGGGAAGAGGCCGAAGCGACTGGCGCGGGGAGCCATGGTGATGGGCGACCTGACTGCCGCTGGAGCCGGTCATTGCTCCTGCTTCGAAGTGTCGTGCCCGGGCCAGGACATCGCTCTGGCCGCGCTTGTGTCTGTGGACGGGAGGCGACGCCTGGCCGCTGTTGGCGGAAGCTGACGTGTATTGGGTGTTGAGGCTGCGGTCAGACGCGTAGGAATAGCCTGATGACGCGGATGAGGATGTGGTGGAAGGGTATCGGTTGAGGATGTTGTTGGAGGCGAAGTCGGCGGTATGCGCATGGCGGAGAGGCGGAGGTTGGAAAGACATGCTTGGATGTCTCGCCCTCTGGTGCGGGCCGCGGTCACCAGGGCCTCGCGGCGGTTGCTCTCGGCTGCTGTGAGCTCGTGGTGCACGGCAATGCAGATGGATTCGCCGTGGGCGGGCGTCAGAGCATTGTTCCGATGCCTGGCGCGGCGCTGGAATGCGGAGGCCCCCTTATGACGCGCGGGACAGATGAGCGAGGTGAGGGATGCGTGCGTGCGCCGAGGGAGAGAGTGCCGGGCGGGTAGGACGGTATGGTATGTCGCGGCGAGATGTTGAGCTGTCGAGAAAATGCCAGCGCCGTCGCAGCCTGAACCCGAGTCTGGTCTATGCAGGCTGAAGAGATGCGAGGGATGACGAGCAAGGGAGGGGAAAGGCGGCTGCGATGGACGAGGACGGACGTTGGCAGGCGCCCAACATCGATCGGGTCGGCTCTGGTACGGCACAGTACCTTGGGTCTGTGGGCGGCGCGGCGCACCGCGGGAGACTGGGGAGCGCAGCCAGGTACCAGCCTGTACCGGTTGACGCGGGGCCGCCCTGCGCTGCCTAGGAGCCGGCTGGGGCCGCCGCGAGGTAAACAAACCAGGGAGCAACCGCCCAGCAACGGCAGTGCAAGCCCTCCGATTCGCCAATGTGGCCCGCTGCGGCAGTTGTGGGCCCACACGCCGTGGCTGGCAGGGCCCTGGCTGCCCTGTATCAGCACCAGATGCCACTAACAACCCAGAGGATGGCAGGGCACGCGAACTGCTGGAGCCCCGAGGCGGGCAACGAGTACCCCGGGCCTGCGTTTCCAAGGTTAAAGCGTCGCGTTTCAAGTCCTGATTACCGGCCGGCAAACACCAACTGCCGCCTGCACGGCTTGGTATCAGAAGCACCATGCCGCAAACAGGATTTTTCGGTCATTGCCATCCATCCCGGACGGCAACAGACGTCGGTTGTTTGTTGTGATGCGCGCGCCGGGTCTGGGTTCAACCATGCTCTCGTTGGACGATGCTACTGGCAACGAGCCAGCCACTGACAGGGTGTGTTTTGCTTTCCGAGCCCCCATGGCGCCGCATCGCCACCAGGCGCCGTGACACGGCAGCGGTGAGTGCCCGAGTTGAAGCAAGCGCCACGGGTTCTGCGGCCCAACTGTTCCGATACTCCACGCGGAAATCCGGTGTTGATGCGGCTGTCGAAGTGTGGCTGCTGAGAGCTCAAGGAGGGTGCAACACTGCATCGCTGGTGGCTGCATGTCGCTTTATTAGCCGAGCCCGATTTTCTAGCTTGACAACCTGTAGGCCCTCAGGGACAAAGACAAAGGCGAGCATGTTGTCGACCGCCGTTATGAATTGACGGTTATCTCACTCGCGGTTGACCTAGGCCCTGCAGTGTTTGGCAAGACGTGGTGATGATGATGATGATGATAATTATTTAACGTCCGGGAGCTATAATGACAGCTGAAAGCCCCTATTGGAGCAAAGGACGTGCTGGGCTAGCTAAGGTACAGGAACATCCCGCCTCTCTATCCAGCATCTCAACGGCACGAGGGCGCTCTATCGGCGAAGGGGCATTCCCGTCAGCGGGAAAGAACCCCGCCCAGTCCAGAATTCTCTTGCACAGGTAGACATAATCCAGCTCCAGGCCCCATAGCCCAGGAGCCGTGTCTTCTCCATCGCCAGTAGCTACGATGGTAGCTGCACAGCCGTGGGGAAAATCCCTCAATGGGGCCAAAAACCCACGGCAACTAGGACGCTGTTGTCTGAACGGAAGCTCGTTCCAATCCAGGGCCATCGATGAGAGCTCTGCATCATGTGGCCCAGCGATTTGTCTGTTATTGTGGTATTTGCAAAGCCCGGCGATGGCACGGGCGTCAGCCGAAGCTGCTGAAGAAGAAGTGTGTCTCTGGGCAACAGGTGTTGCAGACGTCGGTCGGGGCGGCTTTTCGTAGCCGCTGTGAGCGGTGGCATCAACATGATGCTGTCGGGGGGGTTCGGGGGCGTTTTGGGCCCAAGAAGGTCGTAGGCTGTAGAAGCCAGAGTCGGGGGGCGTATCGAGGCCCAAATGTCGCGGTGAGAAGCCGGCCAGTCAGGCTGGAGGCACCAGTGTTATCTGGGCAGCAGGTGCTGCAGATATTGTCGGAGCGGAGGCGAGCCGCGAAGGTAGCTGAGATCGCATGGTCCCAAGTGGTCGGAGGGCAGTCTTGCCCGGAAGGTCGCGAGCGGCGGTGAGCCAGACGAGCAGACAATGCTGCGTCCGAGCGGCCGAGGCTGTGGCGAAAGGCGCGAGCACAATGGCTCTGGTTGTGACGACGAGCACCGCGAGCGAAGGTGAACTCTCCAAATCCCTTCGTCGAGGCAGCTGTTAGGGCCACGATGGGCACCGAGCTGCAGGTGCTGTCAAGTGGCCTGTGGAAAATCCCATGGCTTAGCGAGGCGCTAACAGCGCCAGGCGAGCAGAGATTTTTACAGGGGAGAGTTGTTTGGCAAGACGTGGGAAAATACACCACTCGAGTACAGGGTAGTCGCCGCCAACTTGGGCAATGAAAGCGTCACCAGCGCGGGCGCTTCTGACGCCCGTCCTCGTACAGCGTCATTGCGCGATTGCGCACCGTTGACGGATGGTGAAACAACCCGTGCTCAGTTCATGCGGTGCCTCCCGAGAACGACGACTCGGATCGAGTCGCGCAATCGCCCCAATCTGACGACGTGGTCGTTTGCAGGCCACGCCTCGCGTCTACCAAGCAGTTGCGCAGCGCGTTCGTCCGTGGCCAGACCAAAAGGCGACGGCCATGGTGGGGCCACGATGAGGTCACCAGCAAGCTCCACTCAAACCGCCGCCGTGCACCCTGCGGCCAGCTTTTTGAAGCGCAGCCGGATGCGGACACGCTGCCTGCAATCAATCGCCCTCATCATCCACTTCATCGACACCGAACAGTCCCAGCGTCCATCCCCTGCGCCAACAACCGAGGTCAATCTCAACCACCAAACTCTGAAGTCTATCTCCATATACGCGCTGGCCTCTACCGAACCGCAGACCATCGCGCAGTGACGCCCACCGACAGCGAGGCACATTTCCCCGTCTAGACGCTGGTCGCGACATTCGTCACCATGTCGTCGGCAAAGCAGCGACCTTCGGTCCTTGTGCGACTCGGCCCTGCCCCTTCCACCACGTTGTGTACCGTCTAACCGAGAGCGCAGGTCACCGACTCGAGGGAGAGGGCCAGCCAGAGAAGGGTCCCCCGTCGCCAGGACAGCACTGCCGCCACGAGTGGCCGGGTACCGATGCGGTTCATGACTGTCGATAACGTCCTCCAGTACAACTCGCAGATCCCATCTGGCCAGCCGCGCGCCCCTGCCATGTCTACGCTACGCCCTGGCCCTTCTGCCGGGGCTCCTTCGAGCCGACGAGTCTCTGCCGGTGGCCTCCCCAATGTTCAATCGCGCACGGGAAAGCCCATGCCATCGCGAACGACCAAGATCAGCGAGAAGCTAGTGCTTCTACCGGATACGGACGACAAGGAGGACGCCGAGGAAGAAATCGAGAGCGAGTCGGTCCTGGCGAGGAGACTGCAGGAAGAGGACAACCGGCCGTTGAGGGATGAGGAACTCGACGTGCTCAAGAAGAGAGGCGGTATCCGGGGCAAGAGCTATGCCGAGAGGCTGCCCAAGCCGCAACGCAAGGACAAAGTCAGTCGCCTGACAGCATACTGCACGGCCCAGGCCTTCAAGATTGGAGCCACGTCCGAGTTCTTGCGGAAGAGACACGAGGCCAAGACGAAGCTCTACGACGACTGTCTGTACGTCATCTACGCGCTGCCCTTGCTCAACGGCACGGAAGGCTACCGCGTACGGGGGAGGCCCATGCTCAAGACACCGGGCACTGGAAAGACGATGCTGGATCTCGAGATTGAGAGGACAGAGCGTCGGGACCAGCACGAAGGCTACTTCGAAGACGACGCTTACACGACGCCTGAGAGCCCCGAAAGAGGAAGCCGCGGAGGGGGCCCGTTTGCAGACCCGTCCCCAGAGGACGAGGGCCGCCGAGAGCAAGAGTACGGTATACCGTCACAAATGAATCGGCTCGCGCCGGACGCCAAGAACTTTGCCGAAATGTTTGTCTACTCGTATGGCGTCGTGGTATTTTGGAACTTTACCGAGCACCAGGAGAAGGACATCCTCGCCGATCTAACCTTTGCTGATGCCGAGGATGGCATCAACCTGCTCACCCGCCCCCTCGACCAGGACGACTTCGAGACGGAGCAGTTCCACTTCGAGTACAGCGCCGACGTCAAGCGGCCACGAGTGTTCAACGACATGATTACGCTGCTGCCCAGATCAGACCACATGATCAAGCTCACCATAAGTCACGCCATTGCCCAGAGTACCAAGCTGTGCTTCTTCGAGGAGAGGATGAGCGAGACGATGCTGGACGCGCAACACGTCCCCAAGACGCTGGCGCTGACGGGCGAGCTCAACATGACGAGGACGGAGATTGTCAAGATCCTCGGTCGACTCTTCAAGAGCCGCGTCGACATCAATCTATGTAAGTGGCTAGACGAGAGGGCATCCAGGGGGTGTTGGGGCGAGTACTGACACAGAACCACAGCATCCAACATCCTCGATGTGCCCAACTTCTTCTGGGACTCGGAGCCAACGTTGCATCCGTTGTACGAGGCGGTGCGCGAGTATCTGGAAATCGATCCGCGCATCAAGGTGCTAAACGAGCGGTGCCGAGTCTTCCTCGACCTAGCCGAGATCCTGTCCGACTCGGTAGCGGACGCCAAGATGAGCGCCATCACGTGGATCGTCATCATCCTCATCGTCATCAGCATCCTCGTGACCGTGACCGAAGTTGGCCTGCGGTTCGTCATGCTCAGCAAGAACTCGGACATGACAAAAGGCCCCGGCACCGTGGGATCGATCTCGTGGAGCGGAGCGGCGGGCGGACCCGGCGCGGCCCCAGAAATACTGCTCGTGCCGCCTCCGCCCTCGGGGCTGGAGCCGGGCGAGGTCGGGGCCGGGACGCGGGGAGTCGGGGCCGATGGGATGAGCGACCTCGAGCTGCTGGCAGTCACACTCGGCCTGCGGTCGAATGCCTCGGTTGGCGACATACGTCAGGGCATCCTGGATTTGAAACAGGGCTCGACGTCGCCAGCCCGCTGCCCCCCGTAGCGACGAGAGACGACGGATGAACCCAAACAGGAATTCCAGTGCGCGTGGGAGACGTGCTCATTGCGGATTACGGACTGCCGAGAAGGGCACAGACGAAGGCAGCCATTACTGCACCCCAACGGCGGGGGTCATCAAGTCTGGCCGTGCCATGGCCTCGGCTCGACCCCACGTGTACTGTGTCGCACAGCACATTGTGATCGCGCGACGATGGCCGGCGGCAGGACGCACTGAACCTGCAACGGCCCAAGCTGCGTGCTTGCGCGTCCCTTTGCCGGCATCTACGCCACCGTCCACCCCCTCTCGAGCCTGGACCACTGCCGTCTTCAATTGCCCGCAGCCGCATTGACGCAGTGGCCGGCGGCAGGCGGCTGGACAATAAGACATGTGCGAACGCGCAGAGCATGACAACAAAGTCATCAGCCCGTCCCGCGGCTCGGTCGCGATTCGGCGTCGGCACTTGCTGTCTCGCGGCAGCCCCCAACTTCTTCTTTTTTCTTTCCTTGAGTAACAGCTCATAGCATGGCGTCTCGAACATGGGCATGGGGGGATTTGGCGAAAAAAAAGGAACCATCCATTCTGCACACTCCCTTTCAGCTAGGTCTCGGGATGGTGTATATGTTCAATGTACTGTGTCGCTGGACGGGCGCAAACTGTGTGCCGTACCCACGCATGAGTCGTGGCTTCAGCAGTGCTGTCACTCCCGTCCCGCCGCTGTCTCTCAACAAGTCCAATTATTACCCTCGTGAACGAGAACAGTACACGTAACTGCTGTTGTCCGTACGTACCTGGATGCACGTTGCGTTGCGCGCCATTCACCAGCCGGCAGCAGCCCTGTCATGCGGCGGAACGGGCGGCACAATGGCCAAGTCTTGGCACGCGCGGGCGTCGTGGAGAGAGAAAAAAAACCACACGGGTACCGTACTGTTCTGTATTGCCCCGTTCAGATGGCACAACTTTGAGTGTCGTTTTCCGGAGAGAGGACCCCCCCCTGCGGCCCCTCGCGCGGCCCCTCTCTCCCGCCTCACCCAACGGCGGCGGCGGCGGCAGCGGCACATAGGGCAAATCCACCCTGGAAATGCACACCACCTTGACTAGGTATGTACCTATCAATCTATGAGCCCCAATTCATCCAGGTCCATCCGGTCCACGAGCCAAGGGTCGCCCCCAAAATCGGCGCCGAATCGCCGGTGACGCGCGTCCCCATCCTGGGAACTTAGTATGTGTGTACTACCTATCTGTGAGCACACATACGCCCCCCCTGCCCATTCCTCGATAGTATGTATGTACGTAGTGCGTGCCCTTTCTGCGGTTATTATCCCGATGCCGTGAGTCCGGCTCGGCCGTGTCAGGTTTGATCGCGTGTTCGAACATGCCCTGAGTTCCTGACCCTGGGCCTGGTCCCTTGGAGGACAACCAGAGCGGCAGTGAGTCGGCAACAACAGCCACACTAGCAAGACGACCGTCAAGCCTCTCTCTCCCACCTTCCGGGTTGTAAACACATCCCCCCAGTCTGCCGCTGTTGTCGGCTCCCCCTCCACAACGTCCCTCCCGTGACCAGCCCCTGCCCTGGCCTGGCTCCCGCCGCACCGCTTCACACGAACCGTCCCAGGCGGTGGTGGTGGTGGTGGTGGTGGTGGCGCGCCGCCCGCCACGATTCTCGTGTCCACGACTGCGCCCGCCGTGCCTCAGCCGCTCCCCACCCCCGCGCCGCATCGGCGCCGACAACCTAGGGGTAGTGAGTAGGTATGCACATTTCATGTCCGCGCGCTTGTCTTCCCACCACCATTGCCGACTTCTGCCCTCATCTTCGTTGCCCCTTGGCAATGCTGCGCGCTCCCCGTGCGGTGGCCCGGCCTCCCCTCCCGGACCACCTCTTATACACCCCTTGGGCCGTGGACCTGGAAGGACACAAGCGCCACTGGGGTGTCTTGCGCTCTAATGATCACGGTTAACACCTCACTCCATGTGCTTGACTCTGTGGCCGGCGGCAACAATGAAAACGACTGGAATGCTGAACCGCAGCCTAATTAACCGACGATGACGAATCCAGGACCCTTGGCCTGCCGTGCTCATGTCAAACAATGTCTTGCCTTGGCCACGGCGCCGAGCCAGTGCCAAAATTCAAATATAGCAACTGCGTCATGGTGTGATGATACATTTCGTTAACTACACCTCGCCGTATAATTGCCGGCTTCAACTTCCAATATGTACAGACGCGCGCGATCCTCTGCATCGACACGCGTATAGAATAGTTGTCGACGAACAGCAGCGCGTGACTCCGTGGTCGGAGAAGATCGAATAATGGAACCCCGTTACCTTATCCTAAAGGTATCAAATACTTTGCTGGCGCACATGTCGCTGTGTCTGCTGCCGGCCGTGATGCCCAAACGCCGAATGCACATGCTCTGCTCGTATGTTCCACCGAACCCGCCCCTTCTCGCCGTCTCGCGGAAATGCAAGTTCAGACGAAGTCGCCAGCCCTATGCGGCGACCGCTTGCGGATTGCCGTCTTGTGTCGGTGTCGCCCATGACCCCGAAGCAGGACTGAAAGCCGCAACTCTCAGAGCTGAACGCCGCCCCCTAATATCCGTGTAAAGCCCCCCCTCGTTGCGTCTATTGCCTTCGTCGTCTCAACATAGGAAATAGCTGGGTATCAATATCGACGCACTGTTCCTATCTGGAGTCTTGATTCACCGGCTTGTATGCCGGTTGCTGCTTCTTCCTCTTGTTGTCCAGTTCTGCCTTGCTGTATATGCCAGCGCCAATCATGGTCACGGCCATGCCCGCTCCGTTCAAAAGATCGACCGTGACGTTAAACAAGAAAATGCCGATTAGGACTGTCAGGCACTGTTTCAAGTTGCCACAGACAGTCATCGTCAGGGCGCCCGCCAGCTTGTTCGTTTGAAATGACGAGACGTTGAGGAGGAATGCGAGGAAACCGTTGCCCGTAAGCGACGCGATGGCCGGAGGCAGCGAGATGTCGCCCGATGCGATGAGGTCACGGAATCCGCCGATCTCGCCCGTGGCGGCGGCGCACGCGAAGGCTTGCAGAGCAGCCAGCGGGGACATGCGCATCACGAACTCGAGAGGTGGCAGCGCGAGCGATCCCGTCATAAATCGGTTCGTGACCACAGTCTGTGTGACAGATGTCAGCGAGGGTCCTCAATCGATTCGTCAGCAGTTCCGAGACATACCTTGACCGCGGCCAGAACAACGCCGAAAATGGTGAGCAGGAAGCCGGCATCGGTGAACGTCATCTCACCAGCCGTCGTCATGGCGGCGCCGATAATGAGGGGGATGAGAGAGAGGTATGTGAGAGTGCTGTACGTGCGGCCATACCACACCCGATAGATAAGAATGGTGAAGATGGGGCACAGCATGCGCATCGTCTGATAAAACGGAACTGACACCATGGCGAGAGAGAGGTTGGAGAGAGCGATGTTGGCGGTAAAAAGGGCGCTAAAAGCGACGAGCGCGAGATTCTCGCGACGGCCGAGGCGCGTGAGCTTGAAGTAGCCCATGTGCAGCATGGCATATGTGCCCATGCTCGCAAAGGAGGCATGCAGACACGTCAGGAGCCACGGGAACGCAAACTGAAGAGAGCCGCGATCGTTAGCACTCATCCACCTCGGGGCCTTCCAAGGGGGAACCAACCATGCCCAAGACGAGCTTGTTGTAGAGAGTTAGGCATAGAGAGAAGAAGAAGTAGGTGCCCAGCCACGTGAACTTTACGGTGCTGGCGATGGAGTACTCGTGGTCGAGGTTCTCGTCCTTCGGGGGTTCCGCCTGGCCGGCGCCGCCCTCGACATCGTGGCCCTCGAGCTTGGAGTCACGATCTTGCTCTTCCGGCGTCAGCAAGGCCACGGGCTCATCACTGTTGCGACGAGCCATTGTGAGCTTGTGAGGCGAAGCCGCGTTCGGAGTCAAGGTCGAGTGCTGCCGGTGATGCCGTCACGGTTGGATGCGGGATGCGGGATGGGTCCGGGCTGCTATGTCGCCGTTCGCGCAAATGTCATATTCCACCGTGCAATGGCGCAACAAATGGGGCGACCGGATGACTCCCGCGAACAGACAGACAAGCCGAGAAGACTGATCTGAGAGGTGAATTTGACGAGGTTGCGGGCCAAGGCGGCCTGTTGCGGTGCACCGTGGAATGGCGGCGTCTCCTCGGACAGGGGCGTGACGCTTCGGATGGCGGCGGGCGGACGCAGCGGACTTTTGCAGGCGAACCAACGGAGGCAACGAGAGGCAGGCGAAGAGCCAGAAGTTTTAACGAAAGACGGTATTCGAAAGCAGACCGGAAGGAGAAATGATTCGCACGAGAACCTGTCGTCGAGAAACCAAGGCGATGAACGAGGTAGGAGAGAAGAAGGTCGATGTGGACGGCGGGCGGACGGAGCGAAGAACGAGTAGTTTGAGCGCGGGCAGGGGCAAGACGACGGGATGTCGACACCTACTTGAATGGGCGAGGCCAGCCATAAGGTACCTCACGGGGGTGTGGCCGGCGACTTGTCAGCGGGTGTGCCGGGCAGGCAAGGTCCAAGGCTAGGGACGATGGGGGAGCCGGAGCAGCAGGGGAGAGACGGCGAGGGTGGAGGGTGGAGGGTGGAGGAGTGTGGCGGCGGGGGGGTCCCGGGGCGTTGGCACTCTCTCAACGATGAACGGCAATGCGCGCGGTCACTCGTACAGTGTGAGGAGGTCCTCCGGGCGGGGGGAGTCTAGGGGTGTGGGAAGGGCCGGCTGGCGCTGATGACGGCTGGATGTGTGCACACGGAGTACCACGAGCACGGCGGGAGTGCTGGCAGAGCCGTTGCGAGACGACCACCCACAGACAGACTCGCCTGGAAGCCACCTGCAATGGATCCCAGTGCGTCGGCTGGCAGGCGGTTGGGCGCCAAGACTAGCGCTGGAGCGGCGCGTCTTGGCGCTGATCGGCCACTGCAGCATCCGATGTCCGTGGTGACCAGGAGGTGAGGTGCGCCGCCGACGCCGCCGCCCGCCATCGAGCAATGGAAGGGAGCGAGCGGCACAATGTACAAGTGCCTCGTGTTCCGACTGGAGCTGGTTGCATCCAGACAGGCATCCAGGCCAGTGGGCTGTCCTGCCCTGCCCTGCCCTGGGCCCGGTCGCTCCCCCCCCAAGTGGCCGCGCGCCACGAATACCGGCTGAATTGAGCTGTGGCCACTGCAGAAGCGTTCCCGGTGCAGTTTGATTTGGGACGAGCGGATAGTGGGGGACGGGGAGTCTTGGCATGCCTTTCAGGTCCCGTTGGGCCCGTTGGGGCTGTTGCAGGCCCCGGACCGGTTCACCTTGGCCCGTTGTTGGCCATTCAGGGGTTGCGCCAGGGAAAGCAAGGAAGACGAGACGGGGCGTCGAAGCGCAGGAATCGCACGACGACTGGAGGCACCAACACCCGACACACGCAAGCACTTGGTACTTTGTACGCCCTCGGCCCTGGTAGTGGTAATAAGAATGAATGATGAATCGCATTTGGATTCCAATGCGAACCAGCACCGCAGTGATCGCACATATGCGGTGCGATTGCGGCTGCGATGGCGTGGCGGGACATGTTCCATTGTCACCGTCTTCAAGCTGAGCCGCCGCCATCGAACGCCCGCTGCTCCTGCGCGTCTACAGTGCACGTCACGGGGCATCCAGTCGACAGCGGGCTGGGGCCAGCTGCGGCCTGGAAGCAAGTCAGGTGGCAGATGGTCCAACGTGGTGCAACACGCAGCGCCGCGCCGCGCAGATCTGCGGTCGATACGGAGCCGAACGTGGCTCAGTCCCGCCTCTCAAAGGTTGTCCATGTGCCCGCGACCCCGTTTCGACGTGTTGACGCGAGCGAGCCTCACCCCCCAGCCGTCCGAACCGTCACCTTGACAGTTATGCGAACCAACGAGGAGGGACAATGGGTAAGTTGGGGACCTGAACGTCCACGAGCCCTGCCAGGCTGTGCGGCCGTCGGTCGCTCGACAGACCCAACTTGCATCTGCGGGACCAGATGAGCAGTACTTTGTAATCACTTGCGTTTTATAGCGCTCCAACGACGCTGGCAGTACTAGGTATGGAGCTGAAGCTGCCGCGCGCGGACCGGCGTTGGAAGCTTGGAAGCTTCGAGGGAAGCCGCGATGGTGACGGGGCCGTGACCGCTCCGCGCATGCACTGTGTCCGCTACTTCCTTCGCGCCTGCCTTCTCCCTCCCGTCCAACCTCGAGTCCGAATATAGCGGGAGATAGGGGAGGCGCGAGAGCTGAGCTCAGCACTGGGCAGCCAAGGCCGGAGCCAGGATGGGCCGCCCCACTCGGCCGGGCCCAGTGCTGATTCAGGCCTTGGCAAGTTCCAGGTTCCCACTTCAGGGCAAGAGCAAGTGCTGAGCGGAAAGTGTCATTCATCTCTCGCACGCTGCGCTGCGAATGCTTGTGGGTTAGCGACCAGGCACTACTCCCCGTTCCACCTCTTGTTTCCATTGCCGCTCAAACTCTGGCCCCGAACGCGGCGGCTCCGAATTCGCTTTGGCCGACTATTTGCCTTGCATTGACTGGCTACCGTAGCCGGACATTTTGATGCCCTCAAGGTCGCGCGACTTCTTGGCACTATCTTCCCAATGGCGATGGGGTCACCTTTTTTCGATGGAGACACGGAGTTTTTTTTTTGGTCAGGCGTCCACGCCCACGGGATCCAAAAACCCCGGTTCGCGGGGAGCCCGGGATTCCCTCCAATGTTGTTGATTCATGCACGGCAGGCAGGTCGAGATTTCTTCTTTCCTATGGCACAGGACGTGCACGTCTTCTCTTGTCCACCTCATCTGCTCCCGCCTGAGACACGGCCCACGACTCGACGCACTGTGCCCCGCGGCGGTAGTGCGTTGCAGTGTGCAAATGTGAATTAATTTAAAGCTGCCTGCTAATACTGCGCGGTGAGCGGAGTGCCGAGGAGCTTATTGCTGACGAGACATCGAACACGACGAATTTTGGTCGCCCTTGCTGAGCCAAGCCGAGCCAAGCGACCTGCGGGTGGCGCCAGCCATGCGGGCTGGGATTCGGATCCATGACGAAAGCCGCCGTCGTGACGGCACCGTCCGGGGCAAACCCGCCCTCCGCCGCGCCCGAACCTTGGAACCTTCCGGCCGGATTTAGGGGCGGTGACGGCACCGACAGGCTCGTGTGCGCAAACGGCCGCTTGTCTCTCGAGCTGTGGACTGAATACGCGTACGACCTAGATGCACGAATGTTCATGGCTTGATATCGCGGAGCTGCCGGTCGCCAGCCCCGATCGCTCAGTCGGTGTCAATGTGATGCCCGGACGCTGGTGCGACCTTTGCCCGCTGACGGATGCTGCCGAGAAATGGGCGCCACACCACGGTGTCGTGTGCTCTCGGCGCCACCTCCGGTCCTCAGCACACAGGCCCAAGCTTGAGCAAGCGAGTTGCAGACAAGGCGATGACGGCGACAGCACCGCCAATCGCGCAGCGTACCGGGGCTCGATTGGTTTCACAGCCTGTGAGATCTACCAGCAGAAGACCGGACAGCCAAGTCAAGGAGCCCAGTCGCAAGCATGCATGCATGTGTTCTTGTCGACCACGGCACGGCCACACTTGGCAGCGCGGAACTGTCGGTCAAGGCGCATACGAATCCATATGTTTGGCATTGGGGCGCGTATTCCCGGGCTGCCGAAGCCCTTGTACCGGCTGTCTCATACACGTCCCCAAGTTTACTTTCTGTTCCACTCCCGCTGCGACATGTCTCTCGACTCCCGCATTCCGGTCCTCCATCGGCGCTGTCTGGCGGCGGAGTGCCACACGAGGCTGGTTTGTGGCCTGTCGTTGGCTCCTGCAGCCGAGCGTCGGTGCCGGTGGCACAGGTTCCGTCGCCCAGGCACATCGAGGAGTCCGTCTTGTGCCCAGCTGCCAGGGAAACGGTGGCGGCAGTGCTGCCAAGCTGTACCTCCTTCGTACAGCACCACCTGGCTGGGCTTCTGAACACGGCCGACGTCACTGGCCAAGGAAACGTAACGTCCTCTCATGATCCAGGAATGCCAAGGGCAGCAAGTTGCGCCAGACGAAACTGCCCTGGGCTTGGCTCTCGCGGGGCTAATTGGACTCCATTATATTCCTCATCCGGGGGTGCGGGTACTGTGTACTGCAACGCGTATGTCGGCTTTCGTCTGCCACCCAAACACTCGACCAGGTCGAAGCGCGGCACGCAGTGGACGAATCGAATGGCTGGCGGTAGAATGCCAACGGAAGCAGCGGGGTGGTGATGGCCTTGCGGTGGAAGGACGGTCACGGGGTGTGAGAGACGGGCCAGTCAGCCAGTCACTTTCTGCGGCTGCCGGCTGTGGCAGCTGAGGCTGTGATATCACGCAGATCTGGGCGGCGGCAGCGGGCTACCGGCCAGATCTGGCAGTCGATCTGTAACGCGAGACGGTTGTAGCAATGATGGGATGTCGCGATGCTGCCCTCTGACGGGTGTTGTGGCGCCGGGCCCGGGGCACGCAATCATTGGCTTGCCCATATCGGCAGCTCGAAGACGAGGCCTGACCCCTGATCGGCGGAGACGGTTCGGCCGGAGAGCGGAGGCGTCGATGGCCAGGGCATCATGCCAGCCGGAGTGGCGGCCACGAGCTTTGGACGCAGGGAGGGAGCTGAATGCGTTTGTGCCTTTTTACCGGCGCCGTCGGCTCCGCCTGAGTTCATCCATCGGCCCCTCCATCCATTCATGTGCTCGTTGAACGTGTGGGCTCTCCCCCCTCGGGGCGCCAGGATTTTTACTGTATTTTAGACTTAATCTTGCAGGCCTTTGTCAAGGCGTGCTAAAGAATGCGGGTCTGGTCGCGGGCGCATTGGCCGACCTGGAAGCGCATGGCGCCCTGGCAGGCCCCCAGTTATTTCGCACGGGTGGCCGTTGCACGCATCTGATCCACTCACAACCTCCGCCGTCGGTGCCGGGGGCGTTCTTGGCAGCTTCAACGTGCCCCTTGGCGACCTTGACGGAGGCAGAAGAGGTGATCGTCCCCCGGGGATGACTACTATGGCTGGGGGGAGAGAGGCCCTCCCCTTATCTCTTTGGCCAGGCCGGCCGTTTGAGCGCCGCGCCGATCCAGGAGCGTCCGTCACGGGTCCGTCCCGCGAGCGTGCAAGCGAGGGCTCTGGCCAGCCGGGGTGCGACGCTGGGGGGGGACCTGTGGAGGGCGACAAAGGGTCCCTGGGGGAGTACGCAGCGCAACGCAGGCGATGGCTGCTGCAATAGGCAGCTGCGGCTGATCGCCCGTCGAGCCGGTGTATCGGGGCTTTGCTTGTTTGAGTTGACGACGATTGATTGTCTATGGATGGGGCGGCAGAGCATCTCTCTCTCTCTCTCTCCAGCTCTCGAGCAAGTGAGCCGACGAGGAACTTCCAGGTTGGAAGACTTGTGGGCACCGGTGGAGGAGGCTGCTGCTCCTGGCCTTGCATAGGGGAGTTTGCTAAGGTACCTACGGGGTCGGCGATTTACAGGCACAGATGCCCAAATTGAGAGGGCCCACCGAGCGGATGCCTGTAGGTCGTTGCAGCTTTATCACCACGCGACCACCAATGTTGGCGCCGGACTCCCGGCATGCCTGCAAACTTGCTACGGCTGCGGAAGGCGCGTTTGTGCGTGCGCTGGGTGGCTTCCTGGCTCGCTTGCTGGCTGGGTGGCTGCGGGGGGAAGGAATGATGGACACCGCCTGCCTGCCTGCCTTTGTCGTGGCACGACGGATAGATCAGTACTGTGTCGTACGAGGGCAACCTCTAGCTGGCTGGGCGCCGTTCCATAAGGTACCGACCTCTACCTAATGTTGAGGTGGATTACTTCGTACATCAACTGCGGCTCAGCATCAGCCGCGCGCCGCCCGGAACGCGAGCTGTTCATGATGTCCATGCTCTTCATCTCGACAAGGCACGCGAGATGTAGAGTGCGTGCCGCCTCGGCCCTACTGCCTCTGCGCATTCATCCCGCCTCCCGCTCTGCCAGCCAGGCACGCACCGAACAAAATGAATTGACCTTGGCAGCGTCCTCGTCCTGTGCCACCGCATCCCAAGCCCAGGTCAGCCAAGGGACAATGGCCCCACTGGGGGAACAAGGCCGTCGTTACACACACACGCACACATTCTGCTCTCCCCGACTTGACTGCCTACCTACTACCTACGTACCTCCATATCACTCCTCTGCTCTCCTCTCCCCTCCTCTCTCCAGAGTCCCTTACGAGCATGTTACCGTTACCGTCGCCCATCCATCTCTGTCAAGACTTTCCTTCTCCTGCCATGATCATCGTCCGGCTCCTGCACTGATACCCTCGGGCCTGTGTGTTTGTGCTCTGGTTGCCTGCACGCCTCGCCACCAGGCCGAGTCCCTGCGGTCACCAAGTGGCCTCGTCTGAACTAGGCGTCTCATCGCCGCCGTCTGTCCTTACCTCTCCGTCGCCTTCGTTTGCACATATCCTCTTCTTTTCTTTTCTTGTCTGCTCTCGTCCGCCTCGCAAGCATCCTTTTCCTCCATCATGGCATTATTTACATTTATGCGCCGCAACTTGGTGCTCTCGACATGTATCGCTCTGCTTCTTGTGATATTCCTATTCAGCCATCCGAGCGTGGATGCGGTACGTCGTCTCTGGTAGATGCGAGCGAACCTGGTCCGCTAATATGTCTGCTGTTCAGGAGCGGCTGCGCAGTATGATTCCACATCGACAGAGCGCGTCAGGACAGTCCGAGCGGAACGCTACCAAACCTGAGCATGCTCTCGCGCAGCCGACGGCACTGCATTCAGCACCCACGGGATCGCCCAAAGTTGAAGCAAACGACCCGGGGCCCAAGCCAAAGCTGGGTCACGAAGGCGCCAAGAAAGTCCAAACGTCGCGGCTGCACTACCTGATTCCGGCCAGCAAAGCAAACGTCCAGTTCTGCTACAACATCGTCTCATCGGCCGTCAACAGATACCCTGTCCCCACGCTGCTTGGCTGGAACGGCACCAACGAGTTTGATGCCGCCGTGACACACCTGGCCAAGCTGCGTGCCATGCAACGATATCTCCGCGCCTTGCCCCCGCAGGATGACAAGGATCTCGTGCTCATAGTCGACGGCTACGACATCATCCAGCAGCTACCGCCCGAAGTCATCATCCAGCGATACTTTGAGATTGCGGCCAAGGCCGACGCCCAGCTCGCCCAAAGGTTCAACATCTCAGTCGAGGAGGCCAGGAGGCGCAACCTCCGCCAGACCATATTCTGGGGTCCCGACAAGGTCTGCTTCCCCTTGGACAACCGGGCGGCTCGCTGCTGGGCGGCGCCGCCCTCGACGTTGGGACCGCAGGCCTTTGGGCCGGCTTCGTGGAACGGAGATTTCTACTTTGCGGATCCGCGCTGGTTGAACTCGGGCACCGTCATCGCCCCCATCGACGACATGAGGAAACTCATCGACGCCGCCATGGACGAGATCGACGCCACGCACGACCCCGAGTACCAGTTCCGCGAGTCGGACCAGTACTACGTCTCAAACGTCTGGGGGCTGCAAGAGTACTGGCGATCCAAGGCGGCCGTCAACGGCGGCGAGGTGCCAGGCGGACCCCCGGACCGCGTCATTCCGCCCAAGCGGTCCGAGGGCCAAGACACGGAGTTTCACGTGGCTATCGAGTACGAGTCGGCTCTGTTCCAGACAAGGGCTGGATACGAACCCTTTATCGGGTACTTGCAGTTCAACGAGAGCGGGCTCGCGGCCAACATGAACGTCGACATGTTTGGTCTGGGCGAGAAATTCGTGCCGTACACCATCCCCATGCCCGAAAACGTGCACTCTGCCCTCACGAAGCTCTACGATTCGATACCCGACGCACACCCCGGGCAGCTCTCGAGCGACTGGATCCGCACGGTCAACCTCGGGGTAAACTACATCACCAAACACATCTACGGTCTTTGGCACTGCACCGGGCCAAAGGAGTTCATCGACATGGAGTATCCCACGTTTTGGTGGTACCCCTTTGTCAAGTCATTGCTGAAGGCGGCGGTCAAGTCGTCCCATGCGCATGACCTAATCTCTTCACTGCCCATCGACGGGCGGATGTGGACGGCCAAGACGGAATACCCAGACCGCGATAGCTTGCGCGGAGAATACGGAGGTGCATGGTCGGATGAGGTTCCCGGAGGCAAGTATGTGCCCTGGAGCGAGCTATGCGGCGCACACGAGGAGGTTCTCTTTCGAGGCGAACAGGGTCCAATGCCGCCGCCGCCGCCGCCGCCGCCACCACCACCACCACCTGGTCCGCTGGTGAAGCGGGTGGAAGTCAGGCGGCAATGGTGAATTCAGACATGGCTGATGGCGGGTCGTTTCGAACAAGTCATTTGATATACCCAGGAGGATTCATTTGTTATACCCAGAGGTCTGAGGACAGGGCTCGATGCCCGCTCCCTGAACAGCAACAGCAAACTAGAAGGAAGAATGGGTCTTGGCATTATCATGTATGTGAGTAGGGCGTTTGGGTAGAGGGGAGTTTATGTTTCTCGGCTCGTCGTCAGTCGGCTGCCGGGCAAGGATGTACATACATGGAATTGGCCTTGGCAGAAGAGAGAGAGAGTGCGGAAGTGAAGCAGGGACTGGGTTTCTGCCATGAAGGGTTCCTCATACGCATATTATGGTTCCCGCACCTGATTTCGGCAGTGTCCGTGGAAACAAAAAGCGAGTCATGGACAGGGCTGCGACATGTCGTGGTCCAACCCCTCGTTGGAGATTCGTTGATGTAACATTGCGCCACCAGGATGATGCCGGACGTCTGGCGCGAACGAATCCCCACTGCCGCGTCCCGCATCTGCTCCTAATTTACGTCCTGGCCGTCTCTGTCTGCCGGCCGGCAGCAGCCATCGCGATGACGGCCCGTCACAGCCGCGACGGAACGGCCACAAGTGCCGCAGCCCATGCCCCAACCCGGCGCGATGTAAGCGCCACCGGGGCTGCCCGCAGCGTGGGGGAAGGGGGGAAACGATCGCGAACGATGCTAACCGTCAGCTTCATCTCGCCATTTCTCGAAACGGCCTTGCCAGCTTGTATGTAAACAAGTAACTAACGTTAAGTGAGTGAGTGAAACAAGTTAGCAAGCAAGCGAGAGCTGGGGCAGCGAACAGCCCACGTGCGGTCCTTGGCCGGTCGTGATTCGGCGGCGGCGGCGGCGTGACGATCGATGGAGCGAGACACCGGGGCGGAGTAGTGGGCGAGCCAGGACAAGGACATTTGCGAAGCACACACGCTCTGTTTCCTGTATAGTGCCGGACCTAGAACGTAACGCACAGTACAAAGTTTAGCAATAAGTGAACAGGCGGGGGACGGTACGGTCACGGTATGGTGTGCAGACAGAACCC